GAAGAGTTGGTCGTGTGGGGCATAATTCATGACGATGAAGTTGTACGCCTCGATGACGCTGGCCACAAGACCGTCGCCAAAAGTAGCCTGCCTGCCCCTCTCAAGGATGTTAACACCACCGCCGGTGCCGACACCGGCGCTGTAGAAGACGACCTGCTGGCAGATGCTATCCTCTTCAGCGTCTTTTTTGACGTCTTCGTCCTTTTTGGCTGTTCCATCCTTTTTAACCGACCCCGTTAGGGCAATGGATCGGGCCAAGCGGGTCACATTGGAAGGGATGTTCTGTTGGCCGCTGACGGAAGATTGCCATGTGCCGTCGCAGCAGATGATGATGCGCTTGGGGGTAGATTTTTGGTATTTGTCTGGTACAAGAGTCTTGCGTGCTACTTGCAGTTTGTCGACTTCTTCGAGATAATCGGCAGAGAGGAGGGTGTCCTTGGCCTCATTTGTCGCTACTGTGTGATGAGTTTTGACATCTGTCGTTCCTGGGACGAAAGATCGCCAAAGATTTGACGAGTTTGTACTTGAGGGCGAGTTGGGCGACATGATGGGATTCCGGATATTGGGTCAACGTTTACGAATGGGAGTGATCTACGAGAAAAGTGAGAAGCTGGGTGGACCGTAGCTACAAGTTTATAATGAACTAATAGTCTTCCAGCACTTGCAAAAGCTTCTCTCTCCCGTCCGCAGTGTTGAGATATTCAGCTGAGGCTGGAGTGCTGATCAATTGCCCCCGTCGATTCCGTTTCCAAACGAACTGCGCCCGGAGCACTTTGGTCAGTCGAACCATCATCTCACAAGAAGCCATAAACTCTGCTACAGCCTCTGGAAAAGAAGAGAAACAGGTCTCGTTCAAGTGTTGTTTTCATAGCCTGAAAAATGCCACATGTGAGTCAAATAAAGACACAATTCAGGGCTGAACTAGACCGAGACAACAATGCCGATTGAACACGGCAATACCTAGGCGATTCCGGGCAATAACATTACTTTCTTATCTCGGGACGGCTCGTGGCTAGTGGTAAGCTTAAGCTTCCATTCACTCCGCCCGATACGGCGGGCGGAAAATGCACCTGTCTCACCACATCCCGTGTTCAGCACTCTGCTGTTTCGACTGAACCCGCGCTCACAGCCCACTCAGCATTCCTCGATCTGAACAGATTTCGCATGTGATTGAAGCTCGCTACCACCTCAGAATCCCACCCCAGTCTCCGGCGGCCCAAGATAACTCCCCGCGATGGTCCCATTCACCCCCAACACGATCTTCTCAAGATAGACTTCTGGTGAATTGACCTGCCAACGAATAGTATGCTTCCCCGGGCTCATATTTGGCAGTTGTACCACCTTTGTCCACACATGATCCGCCACATTGTCGTTCCATTCTGGAGGTGTATCGCCCGGCGTGGCAGGATCGCCAAGCACACGTGTAAAGTTCACACTGCCGCCACTCTCATTACCGTTATCCGCCAGTATGAGAGAGAATTCCATAGGGAGGTCTGGGTCTGTGTCGAGTGCGCCGTTGATGTAGACCGTGGCGTTGATTGCCTTTGAGATGTTGGAGAAGATGTAGATATCGTACTCCACCCATGCGGTACGGGCTGCTTCTCTGGACTGTCTAGCAGCAGTGAACGGTCTCAGAGCGACGGATCCTGATTCGGAACGGGAGCCAAGGTGCTCGATGTGCGCGAATGCCACGCTGGCATCACTCTCTGACTCGGCTGAGGCGCGTTGATAGTGGGGTCCTTCGATGGAGATAAGGCCGGCTGTCTCAGGGAAGCCGGCGAAGTCTTCGGGTGCACGATGGTTCAGCACAGGGATATGGATCAGGTCAAAGTAAGGAGCCGGATCCCACTGTACGCGGATAGCAACAGTCTCGTTGAAGTCCGCAGGCACGGAGCTCCAATCAATCGATACTTCGATTTTTTCTTCGGACATGTCGTCGGACAAGATGCCAGAAGTAGCGGTAATAAGAACCCAAGGGTGCGGAACCTCCAGCGTCCAGTTGATAGTCTTTCGGTGGTCGCCGCGGTGGAAAAGCTCAATGAGCCGGTACTTTGGTCCGTGAGGCTCCATAGCCGGTAGGACCGGAGAAAAGCCTTCGTCGGTTGGTAGTGCTGGGTGGATGGATCCGCATATACGGCCTTGACGGTATGCGCTGAGAGAATTCTCGACGTAGATGCCGAGTTCACCGACGCCCCAGTCGAATGCTTGCCGCTGCTGGACATATGAAAGGTTGGCTACCACGTCACTGGATGATGGCCGCCAGTCGGTAAGGTCCATGTCGTACTTTGGTGTAGTGAGCAGGCCTTTCCATTTACCGTCTAGCATGGTATCGTATTCCTCTGTAAGGTCAAAGTCCTCGTCAAAGTGCTGGAGGACCTGTTCAGCAACCAAGTTTGCGGAGTTCCGCCTCTCGTAGCTGCACTGCCTATTCCTTCCCGAGTTGATCACGATGAAATGGTAGTGATATCCGATCAGGGCAGGGTACGTAAGGAGATGGAACAGCGCGATGCGGCGATCCTCCGGCACAGCTTCGTGCAGAGCCTGGGCCTTATCTGCCAGCTGCTTCCAGGCCTCGAGCACACGCTCTGCTTCACGGTAATTGAGGATGGAGTATGTCGTGGGCTGAAGTATCTCAAACTTGCGCATCCCGACCAGATGGCTGTGCGTCATGAGCGCGGAAGAGATCTCTTCGGCGTGCTCTGGACCAAAGTCACGAGTTGCGAGTGCCGTCAGGTAGGAGGGAATGTCTGCAAAGTCAAAATTGCTTTTATTCCATGCCAAGTCCATGGCAAAGGAAAGCGGTAGCTCGTTGGGCTTGATGTCGCCTACGTTCATGACCCAGATTTGCCGCGCTCCGCGCTCGTAGGCCTGAGACAGCTCTTTGTAGACTTTGGGCTGGATGCGACTGCGTTAACATGACGACGTCAAGCTCGAAGATAGTGCGCACTAACAAAGTTGTTCGTGTTTTGGGACTTCCAGCTCTTTGGCTTGCCAACGTACTGGAAATGGAAGTAGACCTGGAATAAATCAAGGACGATATCAGAAGCCGTTTCTCGAATTAGGCTTCAGTGATGACTTACACCAATGCCTCCGAATCTCTCACTCTCTTCCTCGGTCGGAAGTCGTTGAATATTTCCCCAATTGTCATCAGTGAACATCAAGGTCACATCTTCGGGAGGATTCAGGCCAGCCGCGTAGTATGTGGCAACCTCCTTGTAGATAGTCCACACCTCTTGAAGAACAGCCGAAGTCAGTCAACAGTCGAAAGCAGAGACAAGTGCTTGGAGGTTCGTTCTCTACTCACGATTTGTCGCTGTATCGTTTCCGTGATACTTTGCCAAGATCTCTCGTTCTGTAGCGAAGACATCCTCGAGGACCTCAATAGGATCTTGAGCATCGATGGGACCGTCATCAGTCCCTCGCATGCCCAGTGTAAAGTACGACTCATTATTGCCCGCTCGACGAATTCCCTCGTCCATGAAAGCGACCACGTTCTCTTTGTTGTTAACCCAGTCCCAGTCGCCCTTCGGATCCTTCTTCCACTCATTACTTGCCCGCTGCATGGGCTCATGGTGGCTAGTGGACACGACAATGCCGTAGTCATCCGCCAACTGTTGGTTCCGCGGGTCGTCCGTGAAGAAGATTCTCCCCGGCTTGGGGATGTAGCTCGCCCACATCGCAGGCCAGATGAAATTGGCCTTGAGCCGGAGAAGCAAATCAAATACGTGCTGATATAACTCGGAGTCAAGAGTGAAGTTGCCAGCATTGTTCTTCTTCTGGCCCCACCAGCCTACGAGTGCGGGTGCTTCATCATTGATGAAAAGGCCTCGGTACTTCACGCTGGGTTCGCCGTGAGTTGTGATCTTGTTGATAGCGTAGACTTGGGCGTGCTTGGTTGTCGGCACGTCTGCCCACCAATGTAGACTAGCAGTGATGGAATTAGCTCAACGGACTGCCTGGACGAATCCCTAATGGCTTCATCAACCTTGCAGCTGGGCGGTAGGGATGTTCATTACTCCAGACGTAGGATCTTTGCTTGACCGTAGAATAGAATCACTGGGAGACTCACGGAGACTGTCCACTTTGCTCAGAAAGCGTATAAAGACCAAAGATGACACCACGTTTGTCGCTACCCACAATCACGAGAGCGTGGGAAATCCCAGGCAGAGGGCTCTCAACGACCTGGGTTCGAAATGTCTCCCACTTCCCGCTAATTTCCTCGACATCTATCTTCCTGCTGGCGACGAGATCCCGGACAAGTGCTGAATCGGCCGTTGCAGCAATGATCGCAACATCGGCCTTGATGGTTGAATTCCCTGCCTTGAAAGCTCCGGTTTGGTTATTGCCTTCTAGAGCTGTCCACACGTAGACGGGTGGCTTTGTCCCTGTGATCTGCGCGAAGTCGCCGGCCAAACTATTGACTGCGATGCTAATACCCACAGGGTCGTTGGTGTCGTGGATTAAAGTCGCGCCCTGAAGCTCGATAGATCCCGCAGAGGCTTCAAATGCAACGAAAGGCTCTTCTAGTAGAGCCTTAATGAGGCTGGCGCCCGCCATCAAGCACACCCATGGGGCACAATTGTGTACCTTCATGATGGATCATTGGCAAGTCCTGTGGGAGAAAGATAGAAGCGTAAACTGATGAGGGCGTCTTACTTGAGCTAAGGTAGTTGCTTTGCTTCAACTGTGCAGATTGGATATATAAGTAGCATATACTGCGTTACACAACATGGCGAGATTACCAGGATACTATGCCGTGACATATGCCATTTGGTGACACTGAGGTTTACAACAAAATCCCTGTGTAGTTGGCCGTAAAGGTAGCATGAAGAGGCTGATGACGTCCATAGCGGCACACCTCATGAGGAGAAATAAGAAGGGTAAGCATTCCCGTTGATGCAAGGCGACTCCATTTGTTGACAGAGTCAATGTCTGCAGCTTGACAATCTTGGCGCGGGGTTGCGGGGTTGAGGGTGAAGTAGGAGAGTAACGCGTGGTCTCGAGCTGATCCTGTGCAGTTGGGCAAGCGGACGAATCATTATCTACTTGAATTCAAGAGATGCAGATTGCCAAGCCAGATCAGAGCTTATTTGCCCGGAAGGAGACCTGCATGGCCTTCATGTACCCCGACAGGATTATCCCGATGTCCGAGCATCTCCTGGGTCAAGACGATTGTCATTGCGCAGTATGGGAATAATCATGCGCAAAAGTAATGCTACTCCTGGAATGCCTCCTCTATCCCATATGGACGTCGACGTATCTATTCTATGATCGGTTTGCGCAGTCGTAGGTAAGCGTCGCTAATCATCGGTCTCGTTATGTGCGTCTCTTCTCTTTTGAAAGGCAACAGCTTCCCCAGGTCTTTCAATCGTCATCCACGTTGCCATCCGAATAGTACTCAAAAGCAGTGGGCAGCGGTGCGTCTTTGCTATTGGGGCCATCTGGATCAACTTCATCCACCAGGTGCTTCTTGATTTCCTGCGCGACAGGCTGGGTAGAATCCGCAGGGGCTGAGCCTTGGACCGGGCCGGGCGAGTGATGTGTATGGTCTGCGCGCAACATCGTTGTCATCCATTTTGCCCATTCCCAGGGCTTCTCCCGGCCAGATGGCAAGCTGTTGAAGTACTCCCATCCCATGACCCCACCGAACCGCGCATAACGATTTCGGAGGGTCAGAAGCACAGCGCCGAGCATCTCCCACGGGACCCATCCGCCGCCGTTCTCGGGATTCGTGACAAGGCCCATGACGACCTTCTCCGGTGGCCAGCCCTTTGCCAGGATCATCTCGTACATGACCGGGTTGCTGACATCGCCCCATCCGCAGTAGAACTGAGCATTATACCAGGCAATCTCCTTCCCTCGCATCACCTCCAGAGCCTCGTAGTCGAAGCCGCTCAGGTTGTTCTCGGAGTTGAGCAGCGCCGCAGCCACAGGAGCCATGGAGATAATGAAGTCCTCGCCAAAGTCCTGCCGCACGCGGTCAATGAGCCGTATGACACCGCCCAAGCTCATCTCCTCTTCGACGTCGAGGTCGATGCCGTCCAGCCCTCGTGTCCGAAGCATGTCGCGTAAGGGTATGTAGTATTTTTCAAACTTCTCCTCGTCCCCGTCTAGCCTCTCGTAAGAGCCCTTGGCAGCACCGCCGAGCATACCAAGCACCTTCACGCCACTGGCCTGCAACACCCGAAGCTCGGCCCATAGTGTAAGGAATCGCGGGTTGTCGGGGGTATGGTCGTTCAAGGTGAGGCCGTGGGGATCATCGTTAATGTGTATCGCCGCGAGAATCACGTGGGTGACGCTGATCCCACCTTGGGTAAGGAGCGGGAGGATCGAGATAGGTTTGCCATCGGAGGTGTGGTGTGTTTGGTAGTAGGTGATGACACGCGGGAGAGGCTGGGGCGGTACGGGCGGCATCGGAGCTAGAGGGACTGAATGCCTTTATCCCGCAAGGATCGAGGGCCTCCGTACGGTATTGGAACGACAGTCGCGACGCGTGGGGTGGTGGAAGATCGGGTGGTTGCATGCGCCAGCGCTTTGGGAGAACTAACAATGCGGGGTGGAAATTGGGAGGTGTTCGGATTGACCGTCCCTCCACGACGCCCTGCTGGTCGGAGCTGCGTCATCAGGGTCCTCGAGGCTGACATAAGCAGACTTTTTGACCGTCTCACAGATGAGATTCTTCACTCACTCACTCACTCACTCACTCACTCACTCACTCACTCACTCACTCGCCGACTTTATACTCCATCACCATACCCAAAACCACACTTCATTCACACGGCCATGAGAGCTGTTCTCAAGTTCACCACTTCACTTATGTTTTGATTAACTCGTAACGCGCTCGAAAGTGAGACTTGAGCCATCGTATTTAGCTGTTCTGCTCCTCTTCGACAATCACCAGAAATAACAATTCAAGGACGCGAACAATGGTGACCGACTCCCTAGCGACCATCGTTGACAACGCCTACCAAATTGGCTCCTTCCCACCCTTATCCATGACTTTAGTCTTGCTCGGATATTGAGAGACCACATAGAAGCATCCGACAGAATACACTGTGAGAATAACCCCAATGATATAGTACAGTTGTTGATCGAAGATTTCCGGAATCGTGAGCACAAAGAATCCGAAAGGTGCAAAGGTCCAAATGGTGCCGATGATATTAACGACGCAGAAGCCGAGAGACAGTCCATGCCGGGAGCCCGCCCTTAGATAGTGATGAGTGGGCCCGAGAACGATGAGGACGTTGGTGAAGCAGAACCACTGCATGACGGATCCCTCGCCCATGAACTCAATGGCGAGAAGCACGATCGAGTACATTCCCATCTGCAGCGCGAGCGCGTACGTGATGGCTGCGGACATCGATGGCTGTTTACCGAGGACGGTCCCAAAGCTGGCATCACGCTCTTTGGTGATGGCTCGATGGATAGTCCATACTTCAAGCATTGTCCAGAGGAAGAGGGCTGTTGACGTGCCTCTCAGGTACCAATGCTCGCCGTACTGTGAGGCGGCCTTGCCGAGGATGTAGGACCATGTTGAGTCGTGGGCCAGGTAGAACGAGTGCATCCAGAAGGGCATTGGGCCCTTTCCTTCACGCAGGGTGAGCCGGACGACGTAGGTGTATTGGAGGTAGCCGACGATGAAGCTGACGGCAGAAGCGATCAGAATTGGAGTATTGTCTAGACGGTAGACCTCCGTTATACGCTCATAATAGTTGATGGCTGTCATGTTGTCGATAGATCCGCCGAGGCCAGGTGGAAGTGAAGTGAAAGACTACACTCTTGTAATGATCTTGAATTCAATGCCACCAACTACATGTATTCCAGCACTTTCCGAGTAGAAAAAGATCATCGTCAGCAGCATTGAAAAAGAGTCTTCTTATAAGTCTTCGAAATCTAGGGCAGGGGAGTTCAATGCCCAGATTCCCATAGCACGATTCAAGTCAAGGTTTGAAGAACTCGGCGCCGAGATTCCAAGTCAAGATGGTCTAAGCCCAGTGCCGACGCTCTGGCCCCCTCAAAATACCAGCTACCAGGTTGTTGACACGGATGTCCCTGGTTTCTGGGATTCCGGGAATGCAAGTGGGATGTTGATGTCTCCGCTTGATCGGGGTCCATGGCACACCGCTCGAACTCTCTCACGGACATCTCCTGTTGTCAGCCAACCTTCGGCCGAACACATCGCCGCTCGAGCTGACTCTGCAGTATGCACTGGCCAGGCCGCGAGAAGAAAAACTCATAAATCAAACTTGATTCCAAGCTCACCAAATCCTAAATAACTTCTTCATACTGGTTAATCAACCGCTGAGGCACCAGCCCCCGCAAAACCACAACGCCAGCGTGCACAATCCCCCATCTCACCGTCGTCAATACATCTGCCATGATCCACACCAAGCCATTCGTCCTCTTCCGCTCTCTCCGCAGAGCAACCTCGCCCCGTACCGCGCGCTCCGACATGCTGGCAACAAGAGCCTCCATCTCACCTTGCGGATCCCAAATCATCTCGTCGTCCTCAAAGTCATCCTCGTCGTCAAACGCGTCAAATGCTCTCCGCGAGGACGACCCGTACGATCGGCTAGGTCGCGCGTGATGATAGGCCCAGCAGGTGAGCGTCGCCAGGTACAGACACCACGGCACATGGAAGAGGTTCATGGCCTCCATGCTGTTGAGTGTTCTCTTAGTCTCGACGAGCATCCTCGCCGCGTGCCAGGCTGCTTCGGACGCGGATTGTTTGGATTGATCGGCGTTGGCGTCAGTAGCGCCGCGATCTTGTCTCGGGACGGGTGGTTGGCTTTGCTGCTGCTGTCTCTCACAGCTTGATGCGGCCCATTTCTTTACCACTTGTGCGGATCTGTGGTAGTCTCGTTGCTGTACTGGCCTGCCCAAAATGTGACGAGCGCCGGCGTATATCTGGACATCCAAGAAGTCCATGTTGAGCAAGGCTTGCGCCGAGTGGTACAGAGCCTTGTACGCTGCTGCAAATGACTCAAATTCGACCCGTCTGGTCATGTCTTCGTCGCCCTCCTGTCGCTGGTTTCCCTGAGACTGAGAGACAGATCCTCGTTGTAATTGGGACGCAAAGCTGACACAGAAGGCATCAAAGTCGCTTTTCCATGCATCGTAAGCGGTGCTCAGCAATTTGCGCCAACCCATCCCGAAGCTATCTCCAGAGACGACACCGAGAGCCGTCTGGTCCCGTCGACCCATATCCCAGGAGATGGACATCAAGCCGTGGAGAACCAGTATCCTCGAAAAACCGGTTAGACCGGCTGGCCGCGGGGCTGACGGTGTCAGGTAGGATTTGAGAGTGGGCAAGTAGAACAGCCTCTGGTCGCTGAGACTCGAGCGCCAGGCCGACGCCCACGACGCAGCATCCCGAGCTTCCCAGATACTCTGGCTGCACGGAAGTTCCAGCCGAAGCTCAAAGGCTGACATGCAGAGACTTTGACAGAAAAGAACGGCATGCTGCGTATCCCACATGAAACAAAGCAAAGCCAGCCTGATCTTCTGTTAGTCCTTCGTCGACATAAGCAATTGGGGGTAAATGGTTAAGATATACCTTTTCTTTTGCTCGGCATCAGCCCATTTCCTCCATGCTTGATCCAAGACGCCGGCGTTGTCTTCTCCCGATACTGGCGGCGGGCCTGGAGGTCGCACAGTCTGGCAATCAGAGCGACGAATGAGATTTATCAAGAGTCCGTGAAACAGGTGACTCATGTCGTGTTGCTTCTGACCGGCGCGTGACTTGCCAAAACACTCAACCAGCAGAATTGTCTGCAACGTCCAGAGCTCTGGCCTGTGTGAGAATCCAGCATGGGCGAAAATACTCGGCCGTATGACATCGTGTATGCAAACAGCGAGTTGATGGCAGTCTTTGCTCGAGTAAGTTGCACCTAATAGTAGGATGGACAGCAGGAGCAAGGGCTCGGTCTTCCTACAGTCAAAGGTTTCTAGGTGGATGAGGGGGTATGCGGTGTTGAAGCGAGTAAAGAACAGCTCCAGGTAAGACTTGAGTGAGTCCGCTGATAGTAGCGGGTGCTCCCATATCGTGAGGCGTTGGTCGGGAAGATTCGGCTTGGCGCCGTCAATGACATTCAGAAGTCTCTCTCTCACATCTTCGTCTATCAGTGGAACCGTGAGTGGCTTTCGCAATGAAGACAGGGGTCTTTCTGGTTCAGTCGGGGTTGGCCGGCTGGCTGCAGGGTAACGTTGCCGAGCTGCCGTGGGCGCATCGGAGGGCCTTCGAGATGCTGCCATATCAGAGCTCCTCTCTCTGGAGTTTCTCATCGCCTGCCGTCTCGCGGCTTCATTGGCGCTTGCATGGGGATTGCTGGGTGGACCAGACGACCTCTGCCTCTCTTGGTCTTTGGGAGCCATGTCCATGGGCTCCGTCCACAGTTGCGCGCTCTTCATCGACTCTGGTGTAATTGCGACATTTGCTTGCGATTTAGGTTGGGATTGATTGTTTGCCATATGAGTTTCAAAGTCTTGACCCGGGTTTGAAGGCCTCGACGCTCCCGTGGGCGCTGAGTTGTCTTGCATGTTGAATAGCCAGTTATAATCCAGCGCAGTTGTATAGGGCATATTAAAGGAGCTGGCAGTGTCGGGTTGGAAGATCTGATCGTAGTCCAACTGATCGCTCATGAAAGATGCTTCGCCCCAGCTACTGGGCTGAGTCGTACTGATGTCGAACTGGTTCTCCGTTGCTATGAAATCGGAAAATTGTAAAGAGGGGGGAAAGCCCGAAAAATTGGTGACAGGGTCACTGGGATTGAAGACGTCTCCACGCCCGAAAGAATACTGTTGAGCTTCGTTTTGGCTTCCTGGGCGTAGATCCAAGGTCGAGCGTCTGTGAAATTCTGGTGATATGCTATCGATTGAGTAGTCTTGATCTGCCCCGATGTCTAAGCCAGACAGACTGTGATCCCCGTCGTGGGGTTCCGGGTCAGGCGAGGGCACTTGTTGAGTCTGAGGGCGTTCTTTTCCTCCCGAGGTCCGGCCCCGTCCAGACGGATTCGGGCAGGGCCGCTTTTCTACAACAGACCCGTCCGGGGCCTTCCAAGATCGTTTGCGTGTGTCTAGAACGCCACAGCCCGGTCCGCCTGCTTCGAGATCTTTCTGGCGGTGACGGTCCATATGCCGTTCTGATTATACATGGAAGATACGTCAGCGAACAACACATTTCCTCAAGATATTTTCGAGATTTAATTACAAACGGTAGTAGTTGTCGACATGTTCTTCCTGTTCCGTCTTTTGTCTACTTACTCAACAGATCAGGCCGTTTGAAATGAGCATTACATAGATCGCAGCTCAATCCTCCAGGCATGTGGTTGAGAGCATGGCGTTGCATGTGCTCAGCTCGAGTAAAGCGTCTGGTGCAACCCGGATGCGTGCAAGAAAAGGTCTTGTCCTCACCCAGTAGCCCGTCTGAGCTCTCTGAGCGACGATGATTGTCACCAACACCCGCCATGGTGTAGGAGTCGCTCATAGTTTCACCGCCGAGTTCCAAAACACACCAATCCACTTCCGAGAAAGAAACCTATGTCAGTCGACCCCTGGCAAAAGGAAGGAAAGAAAATTTCGATAACTCGAGCCTCAGGAAGAGACTTGGAAAGACTTGCAAAGTTGGCAGAGTGAAACCACGGTTTAGGTGTCTTGCTTGGTTCGATAGGAGCCCATAGATGGGGGAATGGGGATGGACATAGCATCCGAATGTGCCGTCCCACTTCTCCGCATTCCCTCCGGCTTTGAAGAGTAACGATACCCGGCTTCCCAGGCCGAGTAGAATCTCCATACTAGGAAGTATGATAAATCTCCGATTTGTTAATCGCACAACATCCCGGCACTAAGTCTCGGTGCAGCCCCTCCCCCACTTTCGACGACTCCCGCCACTTCTGATAAGCATCGTTTCTATGCTCACAGTTCGTATCCGACAACACCAACACAAGTCCCAAGAGATAAGAGTGGGGTACAGGCGACTTCGGCGAGCTGGTATACTCCAACTGCGGGCGTGTCTTATCTCGCTACTTTAGATATGCGATACAAGTAGATACTGATCCAAGTTTACGTAGGACGATTGCACATGTTCGCGGAGTTGCATAGCCGGAGAGGAGGTGCAACAACTTTGGCGACGGCGTTGATTGAGTAAAGCCGGCATTGGTCGTCAACTGCGTCTTTACGAGAATGAATGGATGATGCGGTCATTCCACTCTTCGAGATCGCTATAGAATGCATTTCTAAGAGCTTAGATAGTATCACGCAGCTGCGCAGCCACATTATTGTATACAAAATTGCTGGTGCACCAACACCACTACCACTTGCAGTTAATAAATGACAAGAACTCAAGTTGCATAACGTCTATGAGTACATGCACTAGACCATCAGTGGTCTCTTCTAGGACAGCACAGACCATCATAACATTCACGCTCTCAAGCCCTGCTGTACCGGCATCATGTTGCCGTCAATGTCTAGGAGTTATCTGATTCAAGAAAAGCAACAGCGAGATGCGAGTAGTAAGCTTCACGTGAGTCATCGTCCTTGTCTTTCATACACTATGGAAAGCACCGGACTAATCTTCTAATGACAGGTAATAATTGTAGGAGCCGGTCTAGGTGGTCTGGGCGCCGCCATCTCGACACTGCTGGCTGGACACGATGTTACGGTTCTAGAAGCCGCCTCTAATATCGGCGAGGTCGGTGCGGGCATCCAAGTCCTCCCGAACGCCGCGCGCGTCCTGTTCTCCTGGGGCTTGGAGGAGAAACTGGAGAAGTACGCCACGAAGCCTCAGAAATGCAACTTCATCGGCTGGAAAGGCAACTTTCTGTCTGAAATGGATTATCACAAGTACACCGCGGCGGCGGGAGATTTCCCTTTCTGGGACTTTCATCGCTCCGACCTCCACCGATGCCTCCTCGAGCGCGCAGTAGAGCTCGGCGCGAAGCTCGAGACGAATGCAAAAGTCGATACTTTTACAATCTCGCCGGACAACACGACAGCCACGGTGTACCTCGTTGGCGGACGAAGCCTGACGTGCGACCTCCTCGTTGGCGCGGACGGCATCAACTCCAAGCTGAGGGAGGAGTTCCTATGCAAGCCAGATCCACCTCAGCTGACAGGGGACCTGGCCTATCGACTGCTTTTGAACACGGCCGACATGCTCAAGGACCCCGAATTGAGGCACTTTGTGGAGAACCCCCAAGTCAACTACTGGGTTGGGCCGGACAAGCACGCGGTGAACTATGTTCTCAAGGGCGGTCAGCTCTTCAACATGGTGCTGCTCGTGCCGGACGACATGCCCGTCGACGGCGGCAACACCCTACAGGGAAACATTGAGGAGATGCGGGGCCATTTCTCAGGCTGGGATCCCCGCATCAGCAAGATGCTCCAGATGTGCGACGAGGTTCTCAAATGGCGCCTGTGCATCCGGCCAGGCCTGGAACCAACGTGGTCCCATCCGTCGGGTGCCTTCACGATGCTCGGCGACGCCGTGCACGCGACGCTTCCCTACCTGGCCAGCGGGGCGGGCATGGCGCTCGAGGACGGAGGGGTCCTGGGTCTCTGCCTCGCTCGACTGACCGACACTTCAGCCGCATCAAAGCGACAGGCCCTAAAGGTCTACGAGGACTGCCGACGGGAGCGGACGGAAAGGGTCGTCCGCCGCGGGACGTACAACCAGTGGATGTACCACCTTCACGATGGGCCGGAGCAGGTTGAGCGAGATGCAAAGTTCAAGGAGTTTGAGGAGATGGACGCGAAGTGGCTGGGTGAGGATTCAGCTGTTTTGCCGGCTTCTCAAGAGACAGGAGACGACCCCTTTCCGTGGAGGTATCATGGCGTAGGGAGGTGGTTGTTGACATATGACATGTGGAAGGATATCGAATCGAAATGGCCCTCCGACTCGGCCGGCATGTCGGCAAAAGGAGGAAACCCTACCCCTCGCGCAAGTTTGTAAAGCATAAGCTTATTACCCTGTAAAAAAAAAAGAAAGTACAAACATGCTATGAATACCACAAGAGCCTTAAGCCGTTGTGGCCTGTTGATTCCCGGCTGGATCGGACCCTTGGAGGTTAGCTGCGATCCTAATTATGCAAAACGAGGAATAGTAAACAATAGTCCCAAAGCCTGCCTTGCGGTTCCCCTGCTCCTTTGTTTTTTAGGTCGATAGCTTGACGACTAAGCTTTAACCAAGATGGAAAACCTCCGGCGGGGGGGCTCAAGGGAGCTAGACGGTTTTGGGCAATGTTATTAACCACTTTGATCACCAGCAAACTTGCGAGAACGTCAAAACGGTGTCGCCCTGCGTAGAGGCGGCCAATACTGGCAGTCCCGGGGATATGGTTCGTTTCCAAGGATACAAGGAACTCAACCCAACCAGCTGGGCCAGCTGAAGCAGCTGAGCGTTGTATTGACTTTAGCACAGTGGAGAAGAAACCGTATTCCGTCCAATAATGGGTTAAGTTGTCTTGTATTGAGAGAGATTAAGCAACACCGACCCCGTCTTACCGTTCCCAGGCTCGCGTTTCCCATCCCATGTCCACGTCTGAGGGGTAATATCCCCGGAGCCCTTGAGGACTTCAACAGCACCAGAATGGAAGAGCCGCGTACGAAAATAAGGTCGACTAAGGAGGAAGCTAAGGAGAAAGGGGGTACGAAATCCGGAGGGCTGGTGAGCGCGTCGCCTAGCGAGCCGGCGCCTGAAACCAACTAACATAGGTCGGCGCACGGTGCCTGAATTGCTTCTGTCCAGAGGGAACTTGGGAAGGCCGACGACACACGCGTGGCACTCACGATGGTACGAGAAAGCTGAACGACAGCTCGCCTAATCAGCGCTTGGTCAAGCATTTTGGCATGAAGCGGCTGTCGAGAAGTCCAGAACCATGGCCTCGCCCACGTGGAGGCTTACCCACGAGGCATTCTTAGAGCGCCCGCTTGTTGACCTTTGCTGGATCGTGAGCTGAAGCATCCCAAATACATAAGTCTGCGATCTTCCTCCTCATCTCCCGATTCAGATCTTGTTATCCATCCTCACCATCTCAGAAGCTCCCGAACATCCTCAGCTTCCTCAACCGGGTCATCAATCTTCTCCTCAGGCTCGCCACGTGCTCCAGACACCTGCCAAACTTCAAAATGCGTTCCGCCATCCTCTTTGCCGCCATCTCTGGCCTCGCTGCCGCCAACCCCGTTGCTCCCCGGGACACCACGGCCCAGAACGGCATTGATCTGAGTGCTTTCGACGTGAGTCCACACTGGCGGTTAAGCTTCCTTTCCTACCTCAAACTGACCCTCGATATAGTCTGAGCCTGTCCCGACCAAGGTTGGCCCTGCCGTCGGTGCCGCCATCGAGACTCCCACCTACGATCCGGCAGTCGCCAAGGCTGAGGCCTCAAAGGATGCCGCGGCGAACCCCATTGCCGTCTCCAACTCGACTCTGACTGCCCGTGCGGTTGCTCCCGCCGGTTGCGGAGCCAAGCAGCCCGATGGCTACGGGCCTGTGTCCAGCCCGGACACATACGACTCCTTCATAGCGGACCCCCAATTCACCACTGTTGCCACCAACGCCCCGACGCCGCAGGGCTACAGCCTGTCCTTCTCCAATAAGCAGGGCTCATCGTCATGCAACACATACTTGGGTCTCTACACCATGAAGAGCTTTGACACCATCAAGTGCCAGCAGGTAAGGACAATTTCGTTTGGATAAGCTTAATGAAGGCAAGATCTGACCTCGAATAGTACTGCGATGCCGCCCCTGCTTGCTACGGTATCAACGTCTACATGGAGAGAGACCCCAGCTATGACCCTACCGATGCTTGCACCAACCCTGCGAGCATCACCAACTACAAGTGTACCCTCTGGGGTTCCGCCGTCACCGCGGAGACCGCCACCAACAAAGGAGAATGGAGAAAACAGTTCCATGTTGGTGTAACCGGATCAAACGGTATGCGTTCCTCGCCTTTCCAATATCGACTATTAAGATGACATACTAACTCGCTTTCAAAAAGGATACTCCAAGGAGGCGCCTCCCCCGTCTTACCCCGATTTCACCGGCCCCGTTGCCTTCGGCGGCGCCACCCAGGCCCCGAAGTCGTACATGGGATCCAAGTACTACGGTGGTGTCTACGACCCCGGTCAGTGCGCTGCCGCTTGCAAGGCCAACACCAAGTACGACCACGATCACCCCCGCGCCGACGGCACCTACGACGCCTGCAACTTCTTCAACGCCTACGTCCTCAGCAAGAACAACGTCCCCCAGGGAACCTACTGCTCCCTGTACACCCAGTCCTGGGACAAGTCCTACAGCACCAACGTTGGCCAGTGGAGAGGCAGCGACTACTACTCCGTCTCCTCCAGCTACGGATACACACTTACTGTCCAGGACTCTGGAAAGATCTAAAAGAACTGAGCACCTTGACGAGTGTACTATCCCTGTCAAGAGTCTAATCACATCCACATTTTCCAATGCTTATGAGATCATTGGGAAGTTTGACAGGTTTTGTGTGGCGATGCATAGATTGATCACAAGGCCGATACGTTTCCAAGAATAATGAGGCGGAATGAAGAGGGCACTACATATGAAGTCTATAATTAGTAGCAGTAGTAAATATTGATGATAATTGCAAATTGCATTGTAGACATTTTGATGGGTCTTCACTCGTTTAAAGTTCTCGCTATTGGTGAAAACAACTGCCCTCTCCCAGAAAAGTATTGCGGTAGCGAGTGTCCTTCCAAAACTACCTGAAGTGTTAAGAGAATCATTTGGAAAGGAACAATAAAATCAAAAGAAAAAGGTGGCTTGGATATCGACTGCTTCCTTGTTTCAACAAATTAGTTTGGATTATTCTTTGAGCCTCTCCTCTTTTCCCCAAATCTTGGTATTTCTTATTTATGGCGATGCCACAGTGCAGACACCAGTCTCTAGTATCGCTGATCAGGCTTCAATATGTCTAAAAACTCGCTGTAACCTCCGCATTTTCAACCTTGTAAAACTCATAGTCATTGTATCCCTTTTCCGGAGGCTCCGCCCCGTAGAAAGTAGTCCTGTCGTACGGGTTCAATTCCCACCCGTTCTTCAAACGCTCCACAAGATCAGGGTTGGCGATGAAATATCTGCCAAATACCACCGCATCTGTCTCGCCGCTCTTCAACTTCGTGACGGCATTGTCGCGGTTGAAGTTTCCAGCGGCAAAGAAGTGAACAGCAGCCGGCTTGAGGATGTCCCTGAACTGTGTCAAGTTGTTTGTCTGTGTCGCCTCAGACTTTGTCCCAGACAGAGACGCGAGCTTTTGCTCCTCATCAAGGACTTCGTCAAAGCGAGGCTCGATCCTAGATCCAATTATTAGTATTGGTTCTCATTTGGAGTAATATCGGGAGGCAGAGAGTCTTACATGTGTACATAAGCAGGCCTCTGTGTCTCTGGCATCTCTGCAATCTTTTGGCTGATGAATGACCAGTGCTTGTTGGGATCGCTATCCCTTGTGCCTTGGAAGTAGTTGTAAGGTGAAAGACGAACACCGACTTTTTCGGGGCCAATGGCGGTACTGACGGCCGTCAAGACTTCGAAGAGGAATTTTGAGCGGTTCTCTATCGATCCACCGTACTCATCTGTGCGAGTGTTGATGTTGTCGTGGAGAAATTGCTCAAGGAGGTAGCCATTAGCCCCTGTTTTCATGTTAGCTTATCAGTCTCGAGCTTTGAGAAGGCGCGACATCTTCTCACCATGAATCTCAACGCCATCAAACCCAGCAACCTCAACCGCGCGCTTGGAAGCCGCAGCCCACTCTGCAGTAAGCCCATGAATCTCCTCTACAGTCATGGGTCTAGGAGGACCATCCTTGCATGCAGTTCCATCAAGGTAGTTTCCATCCATAGGCTGGGTTCCAGAAGAGATGGGCGTCTCGCCCCCGCGCATTCCAGCAGAAGAGGCTCTACCAGTGTGCCAGAGCTGGACAAAGATGAAGCCGCCCTTGGCATGGACGGCATCAGTCACCTTGCGCCAGCCTTGTAGCTGAGATTCGGTGAAGACGCCCGCAACGCCGGGGTAGGCGCTGGCGTTGAGGCAGATATCGGTGGCCTCGGTGATTTGGAGGCCGCCGGCGCTGGCTCGCTCGCCGTAGTACTTTGCTACACGGGCGCCTGGAACATGAACGCCGCGAGACTCGAACTCGCTTCTCATGCGAGTCGTGGGTGCCTGCCATACATGTTAGATGAATACACCGTCATGTTTTGGTGAGCCTGGTAGACTTACTTGCACGATGCGGTGCTTGAGGCTGATGCCACCCAGCTTCAGGGGGGCGAACAGCACTGTGTCTTTGAGAGCGGCAAACGCCGGGGGAGGAGTGGTTGCTTTAGGCATGGTGTGAAGCTATTCGGAAAAGATGGTCAAGACCTAGTATTGAATTGGGTCCTTGGTAGTACAAGATATGCTGAAGTGTGATGAGCACTAAGAAGTCCATTCAGCATCGTTGAATGTGGCAGGTTTTGAACATGTCATCTGAATCTCGGAACCACAATTGCAAAGCATCTACTCTGTGCACCTACGAATACACATTGGTGTGTAAGTCGAGATCGTCATGTCGATGCATCGTTGCGAGTGCCTCAAGATGCCCCCATTCCCAGGAGTGGGGAGTGGGAAGTGGGGAGGTCTTCTTGGGTTGGGGTGAGTGGGATATCTCGTAAGTGGGGGTGCACTTATACTGGCGTCCAGTCGGGTAGGATAACTTGCCGTATCTATCCGTATCTGTATGGTGGTCGAAGAAGTATAGCCATCAGTCCATTTCTAATCATCGGCGATGTTATCCCCCCGGTGTGTTACATTCGGCAATCCATGGTGTAGTGCAGTCTAGACACGGGGAACTCGGGAAGACGGGAGACCACGCCTTTGCCCCCACATGTTCGCAGATAGACATGGGGAAAGCTCTCGTGGGGCCATCATCTCATAGAAACAAGGGGGATGATAACGAAAATGAACATCTTCAAGTCATCGCTTTGCTAACAGAGTGCAATTTTCCACCTTGTTGAGTTGGGTTTGGGCATTCACTAGGCGGAATAAGACCGGCAACTTTATGGCTAAATACCAACTATTGGGTTCATGTTGGTCAGCAATTCAGTCATGGCATTTTGAACTTTATGGCTAGACGAAGTCCTAGATAGGCTAGGCCCTTTGCCGGAGGATGCATCATGTGGTCGCCTAGCACAATATCACCAACTGATGCTTAGTTAACCTACGATAGGGAGTGGACATGATATGGCTCAGAATTCTGTATGCATCCAGGAGTGAATAATGATTTACATCATATCTCTGACAATCCGAATCCATGTGGTCCTGCGTAAAGTACCCTCCCTGACACCTACCTAGACCTCCAGCAATGCAGAAGCACTTAGGCACTTGAGCATAGTATCATCAAAGATATAGACAAATGCACACATTTTATCACTTTTCGAGTCAAATATTCGGCGATGAAGATGACATGTTCATGGTTGTGCAGCTTTAAATCAAGGCCCCCAGCCAAGTTCGACATCTACTCAATGGACGTGATATCTAGAGAGAAGCGTGCCCATGAGTCTCATAGGGCAATCCAATACAAAATAAGCCAACTACAACCCACAAAGCAGCACTGGCATATATCGGCACAACGGTGTATCCGGCGTAGGTTGACACAAATGAAGCCGCAAGACCCCCGACGCGAAGGAGAGTCGCAGCAATGCCCGTACCAGTTCCGCGAACAGGACCAGGGAAGGATTCGGGCGTGAAGGCGTACATGACGGCATACTCTGTAAAATCACATTAGTTAGCAATTGCACTTAAGGGTAATGCTGGGGAGGTGAGTGAAGAACCAACTTACCAAAGTTTCCAAGAATTCCGGTTGCGCATTGGAAGCCGATATCCGCCGCTTCCGTGCCCACAGCCGTGTAAGCGAACAAGAAGACTCCCGTCAATACCGCAGACGCGGCCATCATCCAGCGGCGGCCGAAGCGTGTCTCAACGCAGAAGCCAGCCGCAATGGGCCCAAGAACACCGGCCGCAGAGACGATGCAGTAAATCATGTAGGTGTGGTTCAGCGACGTGTTTGCCGAATAGGTAGACTTGGTCGCGAGGTAGGACGGGATAAAGGCAAAGTAGAGCGGGTACGCGACACCGACGGTCAGCCAGATGAGGAACGTGACTGACGTGTGCTGCGCCATCTTGCGCCCGGCAAACAATTTCTTGTAGTTGTCGGCGTTGTAGTCCTTGAAGCTCTCCTTGAGGATCTCCATGTGGGATAGCTTAGAGCCTCTGGGCACCATGTCGGGGTCGACCGGGGCGGCTGTGGGAGCAATGCTACCTGCGTCGGAGTCTGTCATGCCGGCGCACTGTCTGTCGATGGCTTGCAGCATTTCGAGGGTCAGGGTTTCCGGGCGCTTGTTGTAGCGTGCGATGTAGTTAACGGCTTCGACAGCCTCGGCATCGCGACCCTTGGAGATGAGGAATTTGGGTGATTCGGGGATCTTGAAGGCCACAATGCGGATCAGACCAAAGGCAATGGCGATACCACCGAGCGTGATCATGAGGTATCGCCAGCCCATGTTATCTTGCATGCGGCAAGGAGCCTCTGTGGAATCACAGGCAAAGTTGGCCAAGAAAACCCACGCCAGAAGCGAAACAATCACCTGTCCCAAATTCCACCATCCGGACAAGCTGACGAGCAGCCATTGATGGGACTGGGGCACAAACTCCAAAAATACGACGCTGTCAACGGGCACGTTGCCACCAGCCGCCGTGCCGATAATGGCCCAGATAATGCAAAAGCCCGTAAAGTTTTGGACGCCGGCCACGGCGCAGGCAAAGACGCCTCCATAGAGGATCGTGGCGTTGAAGGCGGGCTTGCGACCTATGAGATCGGCGGTAGTGCCCCAGAAGGAGGCGCCGACAATCAAGCCGACGTAATACGCCACGGAGCTGAAGCTCAATTTCGCAATGTCGGTGAACTCGTTGCCGATCGGGGGCCGGATTGCCGTAATTCCCTGTGACCAGAAGTTGTCGACGATCCAGCCAAAGCCGTTGACGACGAAGAGGATCCATTGGAACCTGGGAAGGGAGAGGCTTTGGTTAGCTTTTCTTCCACTTTGCGCCTGCAGTAGGAAAGGGATGGGGATCTTGTCAGACATACTTTCCCATGCCGATTTCGCCCAAGTGCTTCGCGATAAGCTCCGACTTGAGACGGTAGTTCTCGTTTACGGCGCCCGTGTAGAAATCACGGAGGACCGAGTCGCCGACGGAACTTGCGTCTCCCTGGATGACGGACCCGGAGGCCGTCTGCCTCAAACCCGACTCCGTCGCATCCTTTGCGACACTCTTCTCACTCGGAGCAGACATGATGGAAACGATCTGATCGGATCGTAAGAGGAGACAGGAAGAGAGACCGGAAGAAGGAGAGAATACGACAAACAACTTCTGACTTGGGCCCTTTTCGCTCACGAAAGAAAGACGAGTAAACCTGGGACCTGATTTCTTTCAGACCCTCGAGTGAATTGAGCCTTGTAGGGCGCCTAGTCCCTCAACTTTATTCAATCCAGGAACACCAAGGGACGAGCTGTTTAACTGACATGAGGGGATCAATCTTGCAAGGTACCGGCAGCCAAGGTCGCAAGGTCGAATGGATATCAGCCACCACGTTCACTTGCTCAAACTCCACAGCTGGCATAACGAGCGTCCCCCGTACATGTAGCGCCAGGGGTATCTTCTCTGGGGTGAAGGACAAATCAAGGGTCCTGATTTCACACCGGGGAGAAACTGTCTCTCACCTCAGCCTCAAAATGGGGATATGGAGAAGATTGCCGTGCTATCACTCGTCCGTGGCCGGAACGTAGTATGGGTATCTATCTAAAGGGCCGCAAGGGCGTGGCTCTCTATCTTTCGCCCTTTCACCCGTCACCGACGGTCTGTGTATCGCCCCAATCCGAAGAGCTCTATTCGTCTGTTTCGCTAAGAGAAGAAAGAGAGAGAGAGACATCTACCAGGGGTTTATCCCAGAGATTACGGGTCCCCACCCCCACTTTGGCATGCACGGCCTGTTCCAAAACCTGACGTTGACTCCATTCCGGCTAGGATGTCTGACATAGCGCTCTGCCAATCAACACTACCACGCACCGCGTCAAGCCCGCGTTTAGAGTTCAGAAAACAAGGAAAAAACGGTTCGACAAACCCTCCCGCACCGCATAGCGTGCGAGTGATGATTTCATAGGTGCGGGTTGGTTGTGGTCCGGGGACGGGCACGCAATTCTGAAGAAACCCATATTAAAATGTCTGCAAAATAAATCTCTGCATAGTCGAGGGACTAATGACATAAGAGAAAACAACACAGGACTTTGTTACATGCGTCTATTTCATTTTGAGGCCCGAACAACCGATGTACTGTGTAATAATAGCCGCAAAAGACGATTCATGTTTGTTGAGCTAACATAATAGTCTACAAGAGTTTGACGCTTTGTCTCGCAGGGATTCCATGTAGCTCGCTAACGGTCTGATATTGTAAAGTACATACGTCACACGTGTGCGCCCAGCTCTTTCAACGGAGTAACTCAAGTTGGCCAGTCTCAGCCTGGTCATTCTGGTCGGCTTATTCTGCATGTACAGACAAGCTGCCTCTTGTTCACCCACACCGCCATGTACCCAAAGTCGTACCGCATGAAGCGCGATTTAATACGTGTCTGGCGCTTGCAAGAAACCGCCAAAGTAGTCGTCCAGCCATTGCGCCGCAATCCCACCGGTGCCGCTTTCGGTCGCTTGCCAGCGGCCGATGGTACCCACGTAGCCGTCCGGTCGGACGACGATGAGGGAAGCTTCGTCCGTTCCGAGACCCCCAAGCCACTTATCTGTACAGGAGCGTGCTTGTGTATCCAGAGGTGCTACATCGTCGAGATAGATTGTCCAGGCACTTTGTGAGAAAACGGGAGGAAGCGAAGAGACTTCAAAGTCGTTTTTGTCGGTAGATGCTGGAAAGAATGGATCAGCAAAAGGCTACACATGGACTCATGCAATTCTCTTATTAGCTAGGTGGAGGGCGCGGAGCCTTCTCCGACGTGGAGAACTGGAGAGAAAACATCGTGATAAGGTGAAGGGAAAATAACTTACTGATAAGCGCAAATGTGCACAATTGACTGACAGATGTGTATCTCTCAGGGCGCACATAGATATCGTCCGCTCGGCTAGCCCGTGGTTTCGCGTTGTACGACTGTGCCGTCGCAGCGGATAATCTCGACACTAAAGAAGATGCAGATGCTACGCCGGTGCTGAAGTCTTGCAGGAAAGAAACACCCGCAGCGCTAGAGACATCGTTCAAAACTGCGTAGATTCGGAACTGACCCAAGACCGGAATGTCAAGCTGGACGTCGATCGGGCAAGCGTCGATGCAACGAGTAGCCTTTGCAGGCGGGAGATTGCATCCCGGTTTCGCGGCGCCCTTGACGCCGTCAGCCCGACCCCGGTTGAGCTCGTTCTCGCCGTACTCAACCCCGACTCCCGAAATGAAGCGTGTGTTCAGCTTGAAGTTCTCCGCCAGCCGCTTCGCGTCTCCGCGAGCAATCTCGTTGGCGTGCTCAAAGTCAAAGTTGATGAGATCGTGCGCAATCTTCTTGCGTTCCTGTTCGTACGTCGCAAGCAACACGTCGCCCTTGGATAGCCCGCGCAGTGCGAGATTGAGCTTCCACCCGAGGTTCCAGGTGTCGTGGATGCTCGTGTTCATGCCCTGCGCTGCCTTGGGACTGTGCGTGTGGCTGGCGTCGCCGGCGATGAAGGCGCGCTGGGCCGGGTCAGAGAAGCGAGCGGCCACGCGTTGGGCGACCTGGTAGTTGCCGAACCATTCTACGGAGCGCCATTTGACGCTGTAGGGTGCGAGAATAAGGCGGGCTTGCTCCATTACGTATTCTTCTCCGAGGTCTTTTGAAGATGTCGACGACTTCATTTCGATGTAGAAACGCGTCATGTTACGTTCGCGAGGGATGATGAGGATGGATCCGTATTTCTCAGAAAAGACTACTGTTTTGCTCCAAAGGTCGGGGAAGTCTGTCTCTAGTTCGCCATCGAGGACACCCCATACTGAAGCGTGCGGTGAACCTTGCGCGAATGTGTCGGGAATGCTCTTTCGAACGAGAGATCGCGCACCATCACATCCTACCAGGAACTCTGAGTGAATGGAAGTTTTTCCTTCCCCTTGAAGGTCACATTCGATGCTCAGAGAGCCATCGTTCAAAGCACTGTAAGTCTGGAAGCTGTGGCTACGCTTCACTTCGACGCCGCTTTCGCGAAGGTCATCAATAAAGACACCTTCAATCATGCCCTGATGACACAGCAGGATATACGGCTGCAAGAGGTCCACGACAGAAGCAGGATAATGAATCGAACGGCTCAGTCGGTGCAGGTCGGCCTCGCTCGAGCTCTGCCACATGCAAATGTCATGGACCTTAACACCGGTGCGGAGAAGCTCGTCGCCGAGGCGCAACATCTGTAGCGTCTCAATCGACTTCGGCTGAATTCCATCGGCGCGGCCTACTGCGGTTTGGTCCGATCTATCGTCAATGACTTGGACTTTCTGACCGAATCTTGCCAGGAGAGATCTGTGTCGACATGTTAGTACGGAGGAGCTTCCGGCTGTGGGGGCACGGGGCATCGGAGGGAGTGGGGCACAAACCCGAGCATTAAGCCGGCTGGCCCGGCGCCGACGACGCAGACGTCGGACTTGGTTGCAGACCCATTCTGGTGCAAACCATTTGTGTGACCATTGGTCTGTGAACTCACGGGATTTGATGAGCTTGTTGTCATGTTTGCTTTGAGTGTCGATTAAGGCGATGCTATTGTGTTGTAGTAGTGGCCATGCAAAATAGTGATGTTCGGGGGGAATGGATGGTTTCTCGAATTGATATGGAGGCGGTTTGGTTGGTCCTTACACCAAGTCCCATACACTTTGTTTGAAATAGACGGTATTAAAGCAGGCAAATTTGCCAACGCGTAACTTTTGTCTCAAAATACTCATCGTCTCATTTTTCAAAATGGTTCGAGGTTTAGCCGATGGCGACGCAAATTAACTTACCCCATCATTCAATACAGAGGAAGCCAGTCTCTTCCTCACTGCTGACTGACAAACAAACCTCGCACCATTTACCACTCCCATCCACTCTCCTAGCTATGACTTCCCTATCGGAACCCCTCACGATCCCCCACTTACGAGTGTGTGTGTTCGCCGCACAAGCCAAGTCGCGGGGTCGGTGGAGGGATCCGCGGGGAAACATGCCGAAGCAATCGCGGGCAATCCAGCATTCGAAGCTCCACTGATAAGCCCAAATGTCGATGGAGAGTATCCCGAGCGATGGCGGAGCTGGACGAGGATTCCGCCAATCAAGTCGCTTATGCTCCGAAGATCGGCATCCCGAATATCTTCGGCAAGCCGGACCCGCTTCGGATAGGCGTTTGGCACCATCATGACAATGGCTTTGCGGTGATAATGTGACTTGGCCAAAGATTGAAGCTATTTGGAGACATATTGCGAACCGAAAATAACGCGCGATTGAGCAGCTTTGAAGCAGGACGCAAACAATGACGCAGATCACCGCTCCAAAGCCGGTACAAGCCTGGCAAGATGTGGTGACCAAGAAGCGGCAGCTCCGCGCTGAAGCTATCTCAGCGTCCATAGGAGGCTTGACGGGCGGTTCAAAAGAGCTTGAGATCACGAGTATATCTGAAGCTTCAAAACTAGCCTCAAAGATCTCACTTGGTGAGGTGACGAGCGAGGACGTCATCAAGGCATACATTCGGAAGTATGTGGACACCCAACCAACACCCGCCGTCATCACCTATTACTCGCGTTGGTATCGATGCTGATGAGTCTTCGACTTCAATAGAGCTGCTGAGGTGCACGACAAGGTATAGTTCCAGTCTTCTAGTCTCAAATTTGTGCTAATTCAAACATGTCTCGATAGACGAACTGGTACGTTTCGAAATATTAGAAATTTCGAACTTGAGCAAACGCTTTGCCCAAGGAGACATGATACGTTCTACTGCCAAATGCTTAACTAATACTTGCTATTCGTCGATATAGTTTGACGGAAATCTTGTTTGATGATGCTCTGAAGCGGGCCACGGGGTTGGACGCCTACTTTACCAAGCATGGAAAGACTGTCGGACCCCTACATGGAGTTCCAGTCACTCTCAAGGACCAGTTCAATGTCAAATGGTACGATACCACTCTTGGCTACGTGGGACGATCCTTCAAGCCCGCGTCAGACGATGCCGTTGTCGTAAAAATGCTTCAGTCTCTAGGCGCCGTCGTCTTTGCTAAATCGAATTTGCCACAGAGTATCATGGTTAGTAGCTGACCAGTTCCGCCCTTCCATCTCTATGCTTCATATGAGTACGAGTTACTCATGTCTTCGTCTAAAGATTTGCTCACATTTCTACAGTGGTGTGAGACGGACAACCCCCTTTGGGGTCTTACCACTAATCCTAGGAGCAAGGACTATACCCCGGGCGGTTCAACCGGCGGCGAGGCAGCCTTGCTTGCTTGCGATGCGACTATGCTTGGATGGGGTACCGATATTGGGGGAAGCATTCGTATCCCGTCTCACATGATGGGAACGTACGGCTTGAAACCTAGCGTGAGTTTCATTGCTGCCAACTTCGCAAGACTTGGAACTAAGCGAGAACCAACTAAGCATTGAGCATGACTGACTTTCTCTTTAGAGTGCACGACTCCCATATCGCGGGGTCCCGGTATCAACCGAGGGGCAAGAACATGTGCCTTCATCAATAGGACCCATGGCTCGTAGCCTGTCCACAATCCGTCTGACCATGGAGCAGCTAATCAATGCCAAGCCTTGGGAACTGGACGCTCGCTGCGCACCAATCCCGTGGCGAGAAGACTTGTACAAGGAGACGTGTTCTAGGCCTATGACCATTGGGGTCCTCTACGATGACGATGTCGTTCGGCCACATCCGCCATTGACGCGAGTTCTGCGTTCCGCCGTAGGACGCTTGCAAGCAGCGGGCCACGAGGTCTTGGAGTGGAATGCAGACTTGCACGAAGACTGCATCAGAACAATGGTGAGTGAAGATGTTGGCTTTTTTTGTGTGGAATTACCTGACCGTCAGTTCAAGGACCTCTATTACACGGTAGACGGCGGCGAAGATATTCGCAAAGACGTCGTGGCTGGTGGAGAGCCCTTCATCCCCCACGTCGAGAAGCTTCTCAACCGCGGAAAGCCAATTTCGGTGTACGAATACTGGCAGCTCAACAGACGCAAGTGGGAGTTACAGCAGGCGTACCTAGAAAAGTGGCAATCCATTCGGTCGCCCAAGACTGGTCGTATGGTTGATATCCTACTGCTGCCACCTATGCCGCATACCGCAGTGCCGCATGGAGGTTGTAGGTGGGTGGGATACACCAAAGTGTGGAATTTCCTCGATTATCCTGCCCTTGTCATTCCTGGAGGTCAAGTGAATCAGGAAGATGTCAATCAGCCGTGGGCGGAGGAAGTGAGGGGAGTTGAAGACGAGTGGAACAAGAAATTGTGGGAGGATAACAAGAAGAGGATGGCATCTCTCAGTCTGCCGGTGGGCCTTCAGATTGTTGGTCGCAAGCTGGAGGAGGAGATGGTGCTTGCCGCTGGAAAGATCATTGATGACATCCTCAAGGATCAGAACTAGAGTGAGATGTTGACATTCAATTAGAAGGCTTCACTACGGACGACACTTACAATCTTCTGCAAGTGTGAATCAAGTGCATGTACTTAATAGGAGGAACTAAAAGCTCGACGTGCACATGTTCTGGATTCATTAGACTGTTCGAGAGACATCATTGTGGGTAATGATCAATGACACTTAGCGTAATCCAATATGCCATGATTCCCACAGAGACTTTCTCTTGCCATAAGAATGCCTCGATCAAACGCTCGCCCACAACACGACTCAAGACTTGAACTAGTAGTCAAGTCAGGGTGATGCCACAAGAAAAGTGGTCACAATGCTTTCAAACACAGGTCAACAGGGACTCTGCATATCGAGTGGTATCATTAGAGGCGCTGCTTGATAACTATCTTTACATTGGAAACTTGGTGTTCATGAGACTACATGGACCTACATGTATCTAAGATTGCGTCTTCTTCCATTCCTCGTACTTCTTCATGACCTCTTCCTGACTTGCTGGCATCAGACCTCCCTCTGGTGCAGGGTTCTTAGACTTGAAGTAGTCGCTCATCTACAGAACGTGAGCGTCAGCATACGTTCATACGCGACAAAGAGTGGGGGCGGGACCTACCTCTCCCATGGTCACCCACTCGACACCTTCGTGGCTGTTGATGTGCTCAATGATCCGCTCGTGCATGAGTAGCACGTGAGGTCGACCCGAAACGTCGGGATGGATGGTCATTGGGAAAATGAACTCATCTTTGAACAGGGATTAGTCCTTGTCCACAGCACCTCATTCTGTCGTCATGGAGATCCCTTAGCTTACCGTATTCTCGGTAGAAGTAGTCGAAGTGGTCTCGCCAGATGTCTTCAACATCCCTGTTGGCAGGCAAGATCAGCCGGCGCTATCATAAGCTAGGTGGATGTCGTTGAGAGATTTACCTCGGATTTACCCAACCATGTGAGTTTGCAGAGTTCTTCATGAACATCATGGGTGGGAGGTCGTCGATGTACCAAGAACCCGGAATTTCGACCAGACCAGTCTCCTTACCCTTAACCAAGGGCTTCATCCATTCCTCCGCCTTTTTGCTATAATCAATCTTGGTCCAGCTATCCCCAGTCCTCAACCAATATGCTTGGCAGTCATGGTGCGACATAGAGTGATCATACTCGATGCCGTAGCTCAGCATCAACTCAGTCCCTTCTTCGCTCGTCTCCCACCATGGGGCAACGCTGCCCTTGGGTGGCTTGCCGCAAAACTCAGTCAGCATCTTCCACGTCTTGTCCAGAACGTCGCGCTGCTGCTCTAGTGTCATGTCGACAGGGTTCTCGTGGCTGTAACCGTGCAGGCCGATTTCGTGGCCTGCATCGCGCACCATGGCGCATTCTTCTGGAAAAGTCTCCAGGGAGTGGCCTGGAATGAACCAAGACGCTTTGATGTTGTACTTTTCGAATAGCTTCAGCAGTCGACGTGTTCCGATAGTTCCAGCCCATAGACCTATTCAGAATTCACACGGTCAGCGATGTGGTTAATGACCCTCTGTGAGTGCAACTAACCTCGACTGATGTCACTAGTACTGTCTTCACCACCATATGACCCGAGCCAGCCGGCGACGGCGTCGATATCCACACCGTAGCTGTGACGACTAGGTTAGAACGCATGCATACGTGACAGCACTATCTTGTCTTGAGCGAGGAGCCAATTACCAAACGAGAACCTTCTTCTTTCCCATTGTTGCTGATAGAAATAATTGTCTTGTGGTATATCTGAATAAGTGGAAGTGATATGTTTGTCTCTGTGCGTTACCAAAACCCTCTGTACTTGAAGGTCGACTTTATGCTGGACTATTTCAGTCAGTATCGCCCCAGCCATCCCATGAAGCACCACTTGTCATTACTTTGATATCCTGACCAACTCTAAGTCACCAAAGCTCAAGCTGTCAGAAGCTTCCCCGCTGGCAGAAGGCGTCCCCACAATAACTTGCCAGTTTCCCGTGTTTTCAACTGCATCTACGCTTATCTGCACGGCATCGTCCAAAATCTCCCCATTCTTGTTCCCCCTTGTCGAGCCTGCAGTCTCTAGACTTACGAATGCCTCAACTAGCTTATCCCTTAATTGGACACTTTCCCGGGTTTCACTGCTTTGGAATCGATAGTGGGTGGTTAGCCCACTTCTGCGTTGTCGTGGTCCTGCTGAATGACCCCGCCCCCGCCTCCACCCTTGACTACCCCATTTTCCACTTTTGAACGTTGCCATTCCCCAGACCCAAGCCATTCTCTCTATCTCGCAGCAAAGATAGGAGAGAGATGGCTATCTGCTTCGCATAGCTCCGCTTACTCCAGGAAGCTAATTGATGGGCCTTGAGATTGGAGGGCATGGTTCGACGCATGTTGACTGAAAGATGGCGTTGTTTCGATGCATCAACTTTGAAGCGTAGGATGGGGTTCGATAACCCCTTGCAAGCGTCTACTTACCTGCATTGATGCTATGCGCTAGAATGGGGGTTGGGTTTGCGATCGGTCTGAACACTCGGCAAGCTAGCAGTGCAGTCACTGCAGAGGCATTTGTGGAACGGGAATAACCGCCATCTTAAGCGAATTCGCTGATAGTGTCACCAGAAGGAGACTGAAATTATCGTCATTCTAAGTACGTTGCAAATTTAGTTGTCAATACCAGGGGCAATCTCACTTCACGCCTAGACCCTATCTCGCCGTGAGAACCATCTTTATTCCTTCAGTCAACGCAGTCTTCGTGGGCCTACGAAGTGCTAGTCTTCTCTAGTTGTTGAAGTCTGTATGAGACGTAAAGTCATCCGATAATAGTACAATGTCCAAGGTACGCCGGTTTACCAGGGCCATATTAAGTAAAACGATATTAACGAATAAAGTTTTCTCTCAAAGGCCGTGTTGCCGTAGTCACTGGCGGAGGCCGAGGTTGTGGCTTGGCATTCGCACAAGGTCTCGCCGAGGCTGGGGCAGACGTTGCAATTTTTGACCTGATAGACCCGGAGCCATCTGCATTCGAGGAGCTATCTTCTGCAAACGGAGTGAAAGCGAGAGCATATGTCGTTGACGTAACGTCTCTCCCCAGCTTGGAGAAGGCGTTTGCTGCCGTGGCAGCTGACTTTGATGGCAAACTTGACATCTTTGTGGCTTGCGCTGGTGTGAACAAGAACGTTGAGTTCCTCGACACCGAAGAGGCAGACTTTGACAGGCTCTACGGCGTCAATTGCAAGGGCCTCTACTTCTCGGCCAAGATGGCTGCAAAAGCCATGATCGCCAATGGCACCAAATGCGGAAGCATCATTTTCGTCGCGAGTATCGCATCGTACATTGCCATTCGCTCCCAACGATCTACGGCGTATTGCGGTACAAAGGGCGCCGTTCGAGCAATGGTCGCTCCGATAGCTGCCGAACTCAACAAGTATGGAATCCGGGTCAACTCCATCTCGCCTGGCTATGTGCGGACGGAAATGACGGCTCCCTTCCCTGATCTTCTCGAGGGGTGGAAGGATGAGATCATGAACGGCAGAGTAGCAGAGCCTGACGATATCAAGGGAGCCTGTGTTTTCTTGGCGAGTGATGCCAGCAAGTGAGTTCATTTTCTAGTGGACATCCGGGCACGACTCGAGTTGCTAACTTTCGAACAGATACTGCCAGGGGAGCGATATCTTGGTTGATGGCGGTGTGACCAAATGGTAGCTTGATTTTGCTTCGCATAATATGAACATGGAGACTAATTCCTCATTCTGTGTTTTCAAATGATGTACTTGGACAGCGTAGCCTATAGGCGGCAAGTGGTCTTTCCATTCTGACTGCGGCCTCCTGATATATGCTTGCACACAAAAATGCGTGATTGTAAGGTATCGGAATTACTGATAATGCCAGGTTGAGGGCGGATGTAGTGTGTGAATATTTATTGCCTCTTGGAGATGTCTTCAATGCAATTCAATCAGTGCAGCTGCATGCTTATCTTTTGCAGGGTCACGTGCCGTTCGCATGCATGTCATCCATGTTATTGTCATGACGACTGTATCTGACTCACCAATACAACGAATCATCGTACTTAGTTTACAAATATTTGTTCACTCCATCTCTGGAACCACTTCACGCCTCCATTTTATCATTGACTTTCAGGTTTCTAGACTTGAGCCCAACTTCGACGCTATGGGCCTTTTTGCCGACCTAATGGCGATTCTCGCCAAAGAATCGCTCAAACTATCGCTAGTCGCCCCATTGGCTACGCTTTGCACCTACTTCTTCTTCAACGTCTTCCTCCACCCACTCCGCAAAGTTCCGGGTCCTTGGAAAGCGACAATATCACCATTGTGGCTGTGGTACCACTCATATGCAGGGGATGAAACCACCTCGGTCGAAGCTCTGCACAAAGTTTACGGCCCAGTCGTCCGGATTGGCCCCAACGACGTTGATATTAGCGACGGCACGGCTCTCGCACCCATTTACTCCGAGAAGGGCGGGTTTCTGAAGACACCATGCTACAGTAATTTTGACTTTGACGGTCACCCGACGATATTTTCGGCTCTAGATCCTGCACACAGGGCTGTCAGATCAAAGGCTGTAGTCAGCATGTTCAGTCCAGCCTCCATACGAAAGGAAGGCGATCAGATACTGAGATCCTGTGTTGATAGGCTGATGGTACACATCAGACAGGAAGCAGCATCGGGAAAGCCCGTCAATATGCTGAATATGGGTAGATGCCTAGCCCTTGATGCAGTGACGGAGTATCTCCTCGGCAAGACGTACGGAGGAATTACTGAGCTTGAAGCCAGCAGGAGCGCCAACGACTCCAGCAAGCTGTCGGCCAGCGAGTTCGTGGACACTTTTGTAGCAGTCGGGCGATTCTTCTTGCTTCCCAACTGGATCTTTCACGTCTTCGAGTGGGCTCTCCCAAAGCTGTTCCCAAATCAGAAAGTTGACGAGTCAATGGATCTCGTCACAAGTTTCTGTAATCAGGTGGTTGCCGAGGCCGATCTTGAGAAGGACCAAACATACCAGGCTCGGTTACTGCGAGCGGGCATCAGCAAAGCAGAAGCTGCTATTCAGTGCATGGATCTGATGTTTGCCGGCACAGACAGCACTGGTATGAACTTTGGTGCCATCTGTTGGCATTTAGCACAATCACCCTCGACATATCAAAAGCTCAAAGATGAGCTTGCATCACCAGAGGCAGCGCAAGCTGATCCGCAGACACTTCCCTACCTGCGTGGCGTGGTGCGTGAGGGACTCCGAATGTCCATGGCAAATCCTACACGTCTCCCGCGTGTTGTACCGCCCACCGGATTTTCATTTGCAACCAAGATGCCAACCGGAGAGACCAAAAATTTTGAGTTCCCGGGCGGAACTTGGATTGGATGTGCACCTTTCAGCTTGCATTTCAACGACGCTGTCTTCCCAAACCCGCAAGGATTCCAACCGGAGCGATGGCTGGACCCTAGCGAGGAAATGTTACGTGACGCTATTCCCTTTGGACTTGGGCCACGGCAGTGTATTGCTCGTAACCTTGCTTCGAGTGAGCTGTTTTGGGCGGTCAGGGCCCTGGGTACTTCTGGAGTCCTGGATGGTGCCAAGCCGACGGGGTTAATGAAGGATAGGATCCTTGTTGATGAGTGGTTCAACTCCAAAGTTCCCGGGCATGCCATTGAGCTAATTTGGGAATCACCGTCTTGAGCACTGGTATCAGCCAAGCTATCATCGCAAACGACTTGGTCTTTAGCACACAGACATGTAATAACTTCAATTTCTGAGCCCTATTGGAGGAAACAAGCACAGCCAAACGCAAATTGAGTCCTTATTGACTTACTACGTAGTTGATCCAGCACTGAACCGCTTCGAGATGGGTTCAGATTATCCACTCCACAGCCATACCCCCATTAACGCAAGGCGTCGTGCTAGTCGGCCACAGGGACCCTTAGTCGGATTTTAGGACGGAAACAAGACCGGAACAATTTACCGCGAAATTTCGGCATTGAGCCGGTGAGGCTGTGCGGTAAACACACTGTGTAAAGTGAGTCGAGGATGCTTTGACCACACCAGCGAGACCAGAGACAAGACGGCGAATGTATTAACAAATACCGGCGAGTCGGCTGGGTTGGCCCGAGCCCCGGAGCCGGATCCGCCCCGGTCTTGCGCCTTGACACGGACGTACGGACGAAAGCGGACGAAACTCGGACAAAAAAGCGGGCGAAATTGGGACCATGATGTTGTCACTCTGCAAAGCTGGATCCTCTCTGAGTTGATCCCCACAGTTAGAGAAGCCGTTAAAAAAGCTCAGTGCCAAGTTGATCGCGGAGAGGAACTCGACGCCCTTTACTCCCTAACGCATGTAACAAACGCCTTGTCTTCCGCCCAGAACATCACACAGCCTAGAAACCATATTAGTCGTCTTCACCACTTTTCAGAACCCGCGCCCCCCATGCCTCGCAGGTGGACCTTGACTGGCCAAAACGGCTTTGAGACGAGCCTCAAGTACGACGTACACGTGCCGAAAAACGAAAAGCTGGGACCTAACGAGGTTTTGGTGGAGCTCCACGGTGCCAGCTTGAACTATCGCGAACTCGCAATCGCGGATACAGAGGTCAGTTTCACATTAGTCCCGATGACCAAAGTCTAACAAACGTAAAGGGTACAGCCGTAACCGCCGGCGTCATTCGACAGCACGTTGTGCCTGGCTCTGATGGTGCTGGCATTGTCAAGGCGATTGGCAGTTCTGTCACGACTTTCAAGACTGGCGACCATGTCGTCACACATCTAGCTCCTGCACACGCCGAGCGTTATGGTGATGATGAGTTGCCGGTTTATCAAGATATTGCAGAGGGTCTTGGCCAGACAGTTGACGGAACTCTTCAATCGGAGGGTGTCTTTACGGAATCTGGGCTAGTCTCTATCCCTCAATCTCTCAGCTGGTCAGAAGCTGCGACTTTAACCTGCAGCGGTCTGACAGCTTGGAACTCCCTCTTCGGCCTTAAAGGCAGAGAACCCCGTTCCGGTACGTGGGTCCTTGTCCAAGGAACAGGCGGTGTGAGCATTGCAGCACTTCAACTGGCAGTAGCTGCTGGGGCCACCGTCGTCGCCACGACTTCCTCCGTGAAAAAGGAGGAGAGACTAAGGGCACTCGGTGCGAGCCACACGATCAGCTATCGAGAGAACCCCGACGACTGGGGTGTCAAGACTAGGGGATTCACTCCGAATCAGGCTGGCTTCGACATTGTTGTAGATGTCGCTGGCAACGATTCTCTCTCTCAGTCGCTCACTGCGGTAAAAACAAACGGAGTGGTCGTCTCTGCGGGCTTAGTTGGAGGCAGGGCCGAAGTTGTGCCCATGCTAGCTGCCCTCATGCGTCCATGCATCGTCAGGGGTGTGATTTTGGGCAGCCGGGCTCAATTCCGTGATATGATTCGCTTCATTGAAGAGCACAACGTCCAGCCGATCGTCGACGACAAGACCTTTGAGCTCGCAGAGGCAAAGGCTGCCTATGCGCGATTGAAGGAGAAAAAACACTTCTCGAAGATTGTCATTAAGATTGACCACTGATATGTGCGCTGGCCGAGCTTTGTATAGATAGCCGCAATCCGCTTTGGTTGTTATTTATTACACAAGATTCTCAGAGCTACCAATTCAACCCGGATACCAGTTTCCGAATATGCCGAAAATACCTTCCAAAGGCCGGTCGTTGCTGCTTGAAACCTTTACAGGGATTATTGTTGTCACTTAACATTGCACTGGACAAGAACTCGACTTGGCAGGGATATCACTCAGCTGCCAAGCTGTCAGCAGGATATAGTAAAGGAATGCGACAGCGATTTCGCTTCTGCATCAATCGTAGTCGACTCAATAAATATGTCTAAGACACATTGGACTTCTGCGTTTTTCGTTCGGACCAGGGCTGTCCCATGTACGACGCGACAACAGCACTAACATACCTGCCACGTTTGGTGCAACCGGCAGCGGCTTTGTCGCGATTTCGGTGTAACCTAACAGACCAATGGTAAACGGTAGGAACTCGGTACTCGCTATCGTCAGTGAAGGTGACCGGGTACGTGGCGCCTGCGGCGATGGTCTCAGCAACTGGGATTGCCCACTTCTCCCTCGGAAAGTCGCCGTCTCGATATGCCGGGCGAAAGTATATATTCCACCCGAACACACTCACGTAATCAAGCGAATGTGGCCGTTGACAATTACGCCTCTATGAGATATGTAGGTCTGTTGATCAGGCCAGACCTTGATGAGGGCATTCCCCGGTCCTGGGGATGATGGCGAGACGGGCATAGGCTCTCTCCTGAGCGAGAAAAAAGCTACATGTCGATGCAATGGAATGGCTTAAAAAGGTATGGAGGCTGAGAAACTTCAAGTTTGAGGGTTTCAGCAGTTTTCCAATGCGGACCCGTGGCGTAGGGCAGTAAAACTCCTCAACATTCGGAAAAGCTTGAAGTGAAACTTCATGGCATGCAGAAAGCGCACCCTGCGCCCCGTGTCTGTGTCGAGAAACTGGTGTAACCTTTATACTTTAAGCCTTGCTTTCAAATGTTGTGGTCATCTTTTGGGTCTTTTATCTGCAGTCCTTCTCCCCCGTTTCAGCGCCGGCTACATTCGAGAACTGTACTGCAAGAAGGTCCAGTCAGTCTCTACATCACTTTTGTCAATATACCTTCTCACATAGCCAAGATGGAGAATATGGAGAACATGAAGCTTGAGGATCCGGAATTAGCCCATCATCTTACGTTGAAGCATCCGCTCGACAGAGTACGGGACTGGTTTTCCGGGGTCCGGTCCGGGGAATCGTATTACGGCTTACTCCAAGGCAACGGAGATGGTTCATCGACGAACCTCCCGATTGAAGAATCAAGGAGATCACCTTTCTCAAGACTTTCAACCAGTTCGCGTCCTAGCAGATCAAAGGCTTTTTTCTGGTTGTTGGTACCATCATATATCGCTCGCATCTTTGGCCACGCCACGGCAAACTCGACCATCCCAGCGCCGAACAAAACATCGTATTTGAATGGCCTTCGCGGCATCGCATCACTCATCGTTGCCCTTCAGCATACGATAGACGGAGATGTAAGCATCATGTCTCACGCACAGGCAGTTTTCTATCTTTGAAAGATATGAAATTTTTATGTGATCAATCTTACTGACACCGATACTATCCAGTACCCGCTTATACATCGTGCATGGGGCGATGGCGAAGAAAGTGTCTACGTGGTCCAGCTCCCATTCGTTCGCCTCATACATAGCGGAGTATTTATGGTATCGGTCTTCTTTGTTATCAGTGGATTTGCTCTTACATACGGGCCTCTAAGCAAGTCTTACACACTACAGACCAGTCAAGGCGCACAAGGAGCCAACCCCATCAGTTCTTTTCCGTCTAGCATATTCCGACGTCCGTTCCGGCTCTTCCTCCCAACCATACCTATCATCGCGGTCTCGACCGCCTTGATTCCCTTTGGCGCATTTTACGCCCTTAATAGCACCGAAGCTATGGACCCTGTCGCCGTCGGATTCTGGGGCCACGTATACTACGTTTGGACAACACTGGTAACCATCATTACCTCTGGCTCGGCCAACACTGTTATGCCTCAGGCTTGGACCTTGGCAGCCGAGTATCAAGGATCTTTGCTAGTATTCCTAACCTGCATGGCCTTCATCAGAATGTCGCCTACGATCCGATTGCCAGCCACCTTCCTACTGCTCATCTACTCCTTCAACCTTCAGAGAATGGCGAACTGTATGTTCATCTCAGGCATGTTCATTGCTGATTTCCGCCATTTCCGGGCAAATCTTCCAGAGTTACCAAGAATGGTACGTTTGGTCGTCACCGTCACATCGTGGCTGCTGCTTGTGCCCATTATCTTCTTGGGGTGCTGGCCGATGCATGGCGACGCCACCCAAGCCCCGATTTATTCATGGTTTATTGGATTCAACACTTTTGGTTTCGGAGTGCAATCGTTCTTCCAAGGCACATGTGCTATAGCTCTGGTCTTAGTATTGGAGAACCTACCTGTCTTACAGCGCGTTCTCAATACAAAGCCGGCATTGTACCTGGGAGAAGTTAGCTTCAGTTTCTATTTGATTCATTGGGGGTGTGGTAAGAACTTCCTTAGTTATGGTCTGAAGCTTAAGATGCTGGCAGCCGGGTATAGCCTGATTGTTTCGTGGAGCACACTTTTTGTCATCGCCATGCTATCGATCATGCTGCTCGGAGATCTTCATTGGCGTCTCGTGGATCAGAAGTCAGTGCAATTTTCGCATTGGCTAGCCAAGAGACTTGGGGTATCGTAGACTCAGGGAACAAGAGTAGATGAGCTTCTCTTTTTTTCGTCACTACTAGCATTGCCATCAATGATTGCAACTTCAAAGCTCATAGAATCACACATTGCTATATCCCTCTTAAAAACTTGTTTACATGCTCTTCTGCCACTGATACTTCAAGCAACCGCGATTTGCGCTGGCTGGGCTTCCTGAGCCTTCACCTTATTAGCAGTAGCTTGCTCCAGGCCCTGTTTGTACAATTGTGCCCTTCCGTACGACTCTGCATACGAGGCAGAGACTGCTTGCTCAACGGTGACCGGTCCAAACTTGGCTGGCTGCGTCGCCGACTTACAAGTGGGGATGCACTCGACCAGGTAGTCTGGGTTGCCAGAGACAAAGACGGGGATGGAGTAGCGCTCCTGGCCAGACTTGTTGATGACCCTGTGAATGTTGCTCTTGTACAACTCGTTGGTCCATCTTGCCATCAGATTACCCAAGTTCACCACAAAGGCACCCTCAGTCGGCGGGACCTAAGAGTGGCTGATTAGTATCATTGGAATATGAAACTGTCAAGAGTGGTGTTTTGCAGTGGGGGTGGGGAGTTTCCACTTACGTCGATCCATGTCTCGTTCTTCTTGTCCCATACCTGCAGGCCATCGACCTCATCCTGGAGAAGCAAGGTAATGGCACCGAAGTCGGTGTGGGCACCAATTCCACGAGTCAACTTCTCATCCGCGTCCTTGGGTTGCGACGGGTAGTGGAGGAGTCTCATTGTCGCTACAGCCCCATCCATGAACTTGGAAAAGTAGTTCTCCTCCAAGTCCAATGATAACGCAATAACCTGCATCAGATCTGAGGCGAGGTTGAGCGCCGAAGAGTAGTATTCCATCGAGGAATCCCTGAAGCTCTGCAGGTCGCCACCCAGACCCTCGGGCCACTGGTTCGGTCCGCTGTTGAGCTTTTTGTTGACGAAGTAAGGGTGGTCCTCAGGGATCTCAGCTCCGATATAGAAGCCTTCCTTGAGTTCTGGTTGGGTTCCCACCTCGAGGATCTGTGACCTCAGCATCTCATAGCCACGGTTCCAAGTCGTGTTCTCCTTTGCGACCTTTTGCTTTTCTTCAAGGGGCATGGCAAAGAACTTCTTGGCGCCTCCCATGGCGGCCTTCTGCTGCACTAGAGGCACAGAGTGGCCCACGATCTGGAAGAATCCATTATACAGGCAGCTGTCGCGTACTTGGTCCACGACCTTTTGCTTCTGAAGAGGGTCCTCGGAGTAGAATCCTGCGGGTGGATAACGCTGTTAGAACTTGGCTAGCCCTTTGCAGCTGTTTAGGAAGAGGACTATCATCGGACTCACCAGAGAAGTCAATGATTGGAATCTCGAGCGCTGTCATAGTAGCTTTATGAGGAGATGTCAGACGGAAATCAATATCGTCGTTGTGAATGCCTTGATTTGATGATACAACATGGGCTGGCCTCGAGCTTGTGAATACTAGTTTGGCGTGTCTAGAACAAAGCCTATTTGAGTCGCAACATATCTTTGCTGATATAGTTGAATCTGGTTCATGAGGCGTGTCAAACCCTCCTCACTCAACTCATGTAAGCTTCAAGGCCAGCCACCCTTCGCTCCTCGCGTCTCGGCCCCTTATGCTCGGTCAAGCTGGACCTCTGGAAAGTGGGGTGCGAATGATAGCATCTGGTGTGATCGCACTGTCTCACGGCATCGCCCGAGAGTAAGTTCAACACCTAGTGATTGATACTACGCACTGATAAGCGTTGGTCACACTCCTTGCCGCGGGTGGTGTTCCGTTCTCGGCCTCGTTATTTCCCCCGCCGGCAAACCCACTTTCCCCTCATGCTACGGGTAGATAAGATCCGCTCCAAGATAACGCCTCCGAAGACCCAAACAAGTACTCCTGCATATGCATACTTATGCGAAGAGTTCCTTTGCAGGATCGGAGGTAAGAGAAGTAGCATGTCGATAGCCACACGTCACGGCCTCGTAATGCATTGCATGTGAACATATTGGTGATTCGATGAGAACTGTACGCTTAGGGGAGGTGTAGCCAATCGCGACCGTCATTTTTGACACAGCGGATGCTTCGAACCCCACTCTCGATGTAAGTCTTCTGGATTCATGTGGCGAGCGAACATCAGATCAGGATCCAGTACGGACCTGTGGCTACAGGGCTAGATATTTGCTCCCAAATCGTGTCCCGAGGGATACAGGCCATGTGGCTTCACGTGGTGCAGTGATAAGATCTGGATAACCTACCCAAACATCGGTGCTCTGACTGCCATACCCTGATCATCAGCGCTGCATTATAAGAGACTTACGGTTCATCAAAGCAGCCATATGTGCAGTGGAGAGAAGCGTGGTCGTAGAGAGGGAGATTCCAATTTGGTGTGGAAGAATAGAAAACAAAATACTATGAAACTCATGAGGCTAAACCAACGCTGAAAGTTCCGTATGCCATCGTACATCGTATTCCGTACAACCAACGCTGTCCCGAAAATGCCAACAAGATGACACAATAAAGCCGACGGCTCACCAGGCTAGTTCCTCACGACCACCACAGTTGGCTTTCTCCAATTCCGAGCAGAAAGCTTCATCTTCGTTCAATTTCCCCGTGCCCATCTCCCCCAGTAGATTTGGCGTGGCTGGCCAGATTTCTCTGCCTCCTTGCGCCAGTTCCCTCTGCCGGTGCTTCATCACCTCTTCTCGAACGGTGTTTTGGAAATGAATCGGGCCCTGTAAAAATTTATCAGCATCACACTGTAGTTGCTAGGAGGCTGCAAGAATGCATTGGCTTACCCTCTCCTTCTCTGGGTGTAGTTCGCCGCTGATGAACACGCCAGCACTGAGGTTTTCCTGTGCCCCGATGCACAAATCTCGGTCTTCCTCCAGCACTTGCTTGTAGAATGCATTGATGGCAGCGAACTCGGTATCAGTGGAATTGTGAGATCGATACACTTCATTCTCGATCCGGGTTTTGGTCGCATTGATTGGAATCATCCGCTGGATGTAAAAGAAGTTCTGACTACACGCTATGTTAGTTTCTGCTCTTTTGCAACTGCCATAGAAAAACTCTCGCCATAGGATCCCTTACGTGATTGTGACCGAAGTCGAGGGGTAGAAGAATGTGATCGAGCGCCGAAACTCGTCTTCTTCGTCTTGAGCCTTCTTGTTGATGATCTCGTGCTCCAAGCAACCCCCGCTTGGCTTCACTTGATACTTCGTCAAGTCCGACACTCCCGCAATCAAGGGGTGCGATGTTGGGCAATGGTAGCACTCATTGTAGTTCTCAATAACCGCCTTCCAATTGGCCTCCAGCTCCATGTCCCAGACGTGGTCATACTTGTACCCTCCCGCGAAGTCAAAGTTCTGCATCCTTGGCTTCTGGTACACGCCGCCAAACTCATCTTCCCACTTGACGTCCGGTTCGCCTGCTTGGAGGTTAACCCAGATGAAGCCGGCAGGATCCACTCGAACATGGATCGGAAGGAGGCCATTCTGGCTCTTATCGAAGCCGGCTACCGTATCGAATCTCGGCGCTTTAGCAAGATTGCCTTTGAAACCATACGACCACCCGTGGTATTTGCAGCTCAGGATGCTCGCTTTGCCAGACTTCTTCTCGACAACAGGGTATGCGCGATGTCGGCATACATTATGGAAGCCGTTGATGTTGCCGTCGCGGTCTTGGACGAGGAAGAATGGAAAGTCGGCATAAACGAACGAGACGAATTCGCCCGCCTGCTTGAAACGTAGCGAATGTGTTACAAGGATCCACTTTCTCGAGATGATTGCCCTTCTCTCGAGCTGATGCAGTTCCGGGGACCTGTACCATGACGCTGGAAGACTTCGTGAGGGCTCTGGCTTGGCGTCGCTAGTTGCCGAAGAGAGTCCAAGGAAGCGCAACATGTCGTTGGGTCAGAGATGCAACGAATTGTGGATACCGAGTATAGAAAGCGCAAAGAAATGTTGCGCTGAAGTCTTTGATTGGGATCACAGTCTGAAAACTATGGGTACTGCATCTCTAAACCTGTTTACCCTCGCGCCTTCATGTCTGATGGCCTCTGCTACTTTAAGACCGCAATTCGGAGGTATGGCTCTAGGCCAAGAATTAGTCTAATCCGCATTTATCAGAGGTGGGGAAGATGCTTTCGTGAACTGCTTGATAATGTTGTTGAGAATGGGGGTGGGGTTGGTGGCTAGTAGGCTGAGGGGACCGGACACGAGCATCCGGGTGTTGATAAGAGGCCTAAAAATCCGATAGAGGCAAGTCGGAGCAGGTCGGACACCGGAAGTCATTTGCGAGGACCAACCGAACGCGCGGAGTACCGTCAATACGGCAGATAGAGATAGTCTCTTTTTACCTATTTAATTCGAAAATGGTGAGTTGACACATATCGTAAATAATGGAGAAGTCATATTGGTCGTCGACGCGAGCTTGGAAAGAGGAGAAGCCGTGTCTAAGCGAAGATGGTGATTTGAAGTACGCAAGACAGGTGACCTCGATGATGGCCGGATTGGAGTTATATGATCACCCCCAGGCTATTAGTGCTACACAATCACTAATACCAATAAAGACTTATATTGCATCCACCATATGAACACATGGTAAACGGGGGTGATTAGGTACATGTAAGTACCGACGCATGCACTCCTAAACGGTCCATCTAAGTCGTAAGAACAGGATTAGAGATTTAAAGTCCACGTGATACAGGACTGTAGCTTCATGCGTAGACTGATAATTTAGGAGAACAATTTTGTGCATCGCCCTCGGGCGAAGACTGATACAATATGAAGACTTTCTTGGACGCGTGCTAAAATCACGATAAGCTTCAGTGTTCATCTATTGTACAGAGATCTAGGATAGGATGATAGTCGCAGAATCGAATAAGCTACCGACTCCATGTTCACGAAATTCGAAGACTGCCTCAATAAGCTTGAAGCACACTTTCTATACTATAACCACTTCCAAAATCAGAAAAATGTCTCTGGTCAGATATCACAGGCGAGTCACTTGCTCTGAAGGACTGAATTCTGCTTTTCTTCGACTGGTAAACACGTGCGCAAAGTGAGATGCGGGCAGTGCAGGCTGAAAGTGCCCAACCCACAATGGAATTCCATAAGTCTGAACATTCGGTACCACGGGATGCCTCCCACAGGTTTATAAACCAATTACAGTAACTGGAACTGCTTTGCGGCGTAAGGCAGAATGGCATACAAATTGGGCCGCCAGGCTCCGTGGTTCGCCCATGTCAAGTACGTCAAGCCAAGCGTGATTCGCTGTGGCACCAAGTGTCTTCATGTGTAAGCAAGCAGAAGGCAGCGCTGACAGAAACCTGCAGTGACCTGTCATTTGACCATTTGAGAGAGCCTGCATCAGGCTCCAGCTCAGTCTCGTGAGCCACCACTGAGTCGAGCCACCGGCCATCAGTAGAGATTGCCATGTATCATGACGCAGGCAGTGCAGCGGCGTTGCTTGGACCTGAGAGCGCGTTTTATTTGGCGAAGATCATGGCTCAACCATGTTCAATGCCTAAACTGTTGAGATCTAACTACCTTGCACGATGACTCGCCGATGGACGAGAGCAAATCAAGCCAGACCCTTGGTTTCGCTGCCCGGTTCAAGCCCAAAATTGCCTTGCCTGATCTGACCCTCCACAACGGACCCCATGGCTTATTCTTTCATTTCGCATTGTAACTCTTACGGAGGGGCGCCTTTGTGCTCTTGAGCCATTTGGGACCGGATGATTTCGGGCAACTCTTGATATTCAGCCATTATAAGTTGCTAACTTTTCCTTTATGAGGTTATTTTCCTTTTTACTGGAAAGTCCCAAAATTCTGAGATATTAAGGCAATTCACCATCAAAAGATTAAACGTAGCTAATCGTCGACGCCACCAAAAGCTGAAGCTACCCAAAGTCTTGCCCGCTACCATGACGCACCGACACACGCACCATCGAAAGCAAGCCAGCAAAGGCTCTCAGAAGAGTAGCTCGAGTAGAGAGTCGCAAGAAGACACTTCGATTGCAGGTGCAGCTGTTGAAGAATACCATGTGGCTCCAACTGCCGGACCTTGGTCGTCGTGGGTCCACGATGCTGAAGGCAGAGGATTTTATTACAGAAGCCGGCTGAGCACGACAGGTTTATTATGAGCCTCGTTCGCCATTTCACCCATGCTTGTTACTAATAGTATAGTAGGAGAAATTGAGTGGGACTTTTCACGCTCGCCAACTTATCGGAGTTACGACTACATACACCCATTGCCACGAATGTCTTACTATCAGCAACCCATCAAGACAAGCCCAGATCCAGCAACTGCATTCACGTATACCTTCCATTATCCGGCCAATACAGCACCGCGAGAAGATCAGCCAACCTCGGGCTCTGATTTCTCCCACGATGCGAGCGACGAAGAAACGTTTCCGGCCGCAAGCTCCAGTGTTTTGATACCCGCCATCATCGACGTGGACACGAAGAATAACATCAGAGTTATAGTCCCGGATCCTAAGACTGGAGAAGCGAAGACAATATATGACAACAGGCATAAGCATTCCCATAAAAAGAAGATGAGCCCGCAACACAAGGTGGAGAGCTGGCTGCACAGAGGGTAGATTGTCGTTTGATATAAACTGAGGTTCAAAAGGTATGTGGGGGAGACAGATTTCCTGCATCTGATAATCATTGATCATGAGCGAATTAATCTTGAGAATCTCAGGGACACAACAATTTATGAGTAAACCCACCAAATTCACCCGGACTATTTGTTGAAGTATCTATCTTTGCCGGAGGTATTGAATCATTTGTGAAGAGACTTTTCCACACTCTGCCTAAGATCCAACCTAACAACCTTTCCATAAAGAGGCGCTATCGGGCATCGCATCCTCTCTGGAGACAGATCATTGGTAAAATATGCATGTGCCGGTATCAAATACCGTCAACGCCATTTCAGCATGTCACATCTTCTGTTCACGTGAGACTATCGTCCTGTATGGCTGGAGTCCGTATCCGAGACTAAACACGCTAGGATGGTTCATCCGGTGGGCTGGGCTAGTTGAAGTTTACCTTGATGGTCTCCAGAAAGGGGCAGCTAGGGGTATGGGATTAGTGATCCACGCATCTCAAATTCTCAATCTACCTTTCCACGATGCTTCTCCCCATACCCTATGGTTTTGCTTTCTTAGATTATTAGCAGGTTCCCCAGTTTGGGGCATATGCCATATTCGCTGCGGTTCACCCGGACTGCCAGAAAGCGTTCTTAAAATAAGCCATGGCCCTTAAATCTGACTCACTTTTTAGTTGGCGTTTACCTCCAAATGGTTCTAGGCGCAATCCTTCGCCGGTACGCTTATCCAGCCACCCATAGCCACACCAATCTGCAATGAGGATGGTCACAATGTCTTGTGTCAGATTTTCCAGCTGCCGCCTATCGTTCGCGCGCAGTGTAGCCTATTCAAGAAGAGAGTCTTACAGATTCTGAAGTATTTGATCCCTTCGATCCACCCGAAGTTGGCATTGCATGTTACGACCCTAAGAGAGGGCTACAAATCTATCACAGCGAACTTTTTTCTTCCTCGCCTTCGAACATTCGGTCATGCCCGGAGGCTTATCGCCCGCGGGCTTTCGCTCACGGAGCTCAAGCCAAGTGAGGGTGTATTCCCACGAAGAAATCATCTTTCCCAAACTCTACGAAGAGGCCTGGGGCAGCGATGGATTTGGCGATAATCGAACCGAGTTGGAACGCGCCAGAATCTTCCTTATGCGGTTTGCGAAGATGAACCCCGACCCGTTTACGAACCAGGAACTACAGTCAATCGTCATGAACCACGAGAACCGAACGATACCCGGACTGGCTCTTGCAGTGCAGATGAGAATATTTGGAAACCGCCATGCCAGCTTTGCTGCGACGCCCCTCCTGCAATGCATCCGGTTCATGCTTCTCAAAGCCAGGGTGCCGGAATTCATATACTCGGACAAAACCAAGCTCATCATGGACTTTTACTTCGACCCGACAATGGCTAGAAGCATCGAACCTCCGCCACCGGGCGGCATCGTCTACAAGTATCCCTCCGGCCGTCTCAAGGTTGCCATTATAGGTGGTGGACCAACAGCATTGGCATCAGCAATATCTCTTGCGGAGAAGGGCGCCGGAAAGATCCAAGTTCACGTCTACGAACGGCGGTGGATCGTCAAAGACGGACCAAGAGGAACTTACGTCGACTACCCCTCGACAGCTAGGCGTCGTGATCAAGTCGTCACGCTACAAGAGTCGGTTACGACATTGATGAGTCAAGCAACCCAGCAGGCATTATTTGAAGGGCGACCAGAGTGCGTCTGGCCAGGCTCAGCCAACATCCAAATTCGCAAAGTCGAGGACCGTCTACTCCGTAGATGCCACGCCGCCGAATTCCAGGACCTCATTCACCTCCACGCGAAAGGCGTGACGCATGAAGATATGGCAAAGATTGGCGATTTTCATGTGCTCCTTGGAGCCGATGGAGCTGCATCGTGGGTTCGCAAATCGTACTTCCACGGCTATGAAAACGAACGCGGAAGAAGTTACGCCCTTGGCCTTGCATTCGACCGACCGGCCGGTTTACCGTGGTCGCAACCCTTGAATGTCTTTTTGACTCTCGGTCAAACTCGATATCTTCTGAACGCTAGTGACTACGACGGACGTGGGTACCTCAACATGCAACTGACAGAGGGGGAGTGGCACAGAATGCTCGCCAAGGATGGCCAACCTGTCACTTTTGGGTACCCCGGCTGCCTCCGAAAGCCAGATGGGACTGTCCCGCAAGGTTTCACCGAGAATCAAGTCTTTGCACCTTCAGAAGATAGGGAGAGCTCATTATGGAGATCGATTTCCGACGGCCTGAAGCTCTTCGGCTTCAAGGAAAGCGAGGTTATCAACGTTGTCCGGATCCCGATTGTTGTTCAGGCGGTACGAGAAGGCATCCAGTACCTCTCACCTTGCGACTCGGGAGCGATCAACCGGCCGCATGCCCTCGTCGCAGTCGCAGGCGATGCTGCCATGACAGTACACTTTTGGCCCGGCCGTGGTCTCAACAGTGGTGTCAAGTCAGGCATCGCACTAGGAGACGAGATTGTCCATGCACTCAATGGCGGTAAATTCGTTGGGTTGCCCCTTACCGCCATGAACCAGTACAACGACTTCATCATGAAGCTGCAGGACCGCGAGCACGACAAGCGCAGTATCCCGATCCTGAATCAATCCGGTACGCCAGAGACCTTGGGTTGGCTTCTGAGCAAGGCAGACACAGTTCCAGACAACGTTGCAATCGAATGGTTGGTCGGTGCCATGGCTCAAATTGCGGAGCGTCTGGAACTGAGAGGCGATTGGGCCTTTGGCCCTGTGGCCAATGTTGAACCACAACTTCGAATTGTACTACGACAGATGGACTCAGCAACGTTGAGAGAAATGGCAGTCAGCTTCCCCTGGCCGACACGAGAGATGGGTGGCGCTGAGGTTCTACCTCTCCGCTCTATGAAGCCGGAAGAGAAGCAAAAATGGCTTCAGGGCATCTGGGGGCTATTGCGAGACGAAGTCAGCCGAGACTCGCAGAAGCGCCCTCCCTCCCGCGGAGATAGAGGACGGCCACTGTCCACGTCACGGTTCGAAGCCCCGCGCGGTGCGGCTTTGCTTCCGCCTAGAGCCGTTTCGCCGTCGCCGCAGTTCCTCTCGCCAACACCGAATAGTGCTGCGCCAAGTCGGTCTGAATCGACGCTCCGAAGAAGTAATGCCAATCGGGGAGGCATATCACCGGGCCCTTCTGAGAGAACTCTAGCAGTCCCTAATGAGCTGGATGGTAATTCATTTTCACGGCAACGCTCACCGTCTATGGGTGGTGAAATTCCGCTTGGAAGATTGCTGAGCGTGAGCCAGCGTCCAGGCCGCGCAGTACTGGCTGATGCTATGTCGTTGGCACTATTCCGTGTCGACGGGGATTGATGCCTGGCAGGAAATCATTCGTAGGAAAGGTGATTCTTCGTGGACCTTGATATGGCGGATTAAACAGTAATTACATCATGTGAAAACGAAGTCCGGGTCTATGCTACGTCCTTGAACCCAACTTCCGATGTTGGTGTGCTCACCAGTACGAGTTTTCGGATTCTTTCTGTTGGAGTCTTGTTATTGAATACCTCGAAATCTTGGTTTTCAAGTTTCTCTTTCCAGTACGAAATGTCAAGCAACATACCTACAAGATGGACCAGTGTCATGGCGCCTCAGCTTGCTCGACCACGCGTCAATGCACGCTCTTTCGGATCAGAGTGTAGAGGCTGTCATCAGTCGCAATGGAAATCATGGGTGACGAACTTCGTTTGTATTACCAACGTTCGGCGAGATCTGGACATCGAAGAAGCGGTATGTCCGCATAATTCCGAAAATCCGTGACTCCTCTGGTCCGATCCCTAGCGTGAGGCTCCACAAGACCTGAACGCCCACTTTTCCATCCGCTCTCCGTTATGGTTGGAGGGATTTGGAAGTTCAAAATCACTCATGCATTCATGACCTGGCGTGCCTTTTATATGCACTGATGGAAGATGAGATTTGTCAACTACGACTTCCGCACTGCTGACCATCACCTCAACTGCCTCTTTCTTAGATCTCTGGGGGAGGGCGGTCCGACCTCGGGGCATAGAAAGGCTAATGCACCAAAGACTATCTGGCCACCGAGTATGGTCTGATCATGTGCCCCTGTCCCGGTAATGTGAAGGTAAAATCTGGAGTCATCCGAAAGCAAAGGGCCCCGACCCGGGGTCCGGAGTGGGGGCCGCGAACTGCCGAAGCGGGTCCGGGTCCATTCGTTACTAGCTAAATCCTGTTGTAAACCCGCAGGTTAAACATTCAGTCAACTTATCCGAACGAGAACGACGAGATCAAATGTGGAGGGTTCAGAAGGATCTCTAGGTACCGCACTGACATTCTGTGGAGATCATCTAAGAAACCTTTTATCAAGGCTAAGCCAAGAAGCCGCCAGGTAACGGCCTTTTACGATGACAACTTCCGACCTCTCCGAACCACTACGCCAGAAATTAAAATATATCCACATTTTCCAGTCGGGGTAGCGTCCGCCAGGAGAGCATGGGCCCACGATCCACTCAAGAGTGGTTCTCCCCGGTCTCCAGACTCCAGACCCCATGACGACATCGTCAGCTATTCTTCTACACGTCACGCGAGCCAAAGCCGGTTGCCATTGGGTGTGGTGGAGGGGTATACGGGATTACAGAAGTCCATCAAAATGGGCCAAGTTTACGAGAAGACTAATCCAAAGTCCCATAGTTACTCGGCTCCTTCATCCTTTAACGTCAGAAGTCCACAACTGATTCCACCTCTTAGAGTGCCAAGTCCGACTTTTCCCAGGTTCAGACATTTCTTGCTCACATCAGCAGGTGCGAGGATGGTAGCGCGAGATAGCAAGATAAACGCGATGGGAATTGAATTTGCTTTAAAAGCCCCGTCTGCGCCGAAAGATTTGTTGCAAGAAAGTTCAAGACAAGATACTACAACAGAATTAAGACACATCCCTCAAGTAGGCCGACATCTAAAAAAATGCCTTCAATTAGCCTGGCAACGGCCGTCGCCACGATCGCCACCCTCGCAAATGCGTCTTCAGTGCTGCTTCGTGGCGGTACGATCATTGGCTTCGACGAGTCAACAAATTCCCTCAACGTTATCCGCAACGGCTCGCTTCTCATCACCGACGACCGTATCACTTCCATCTACACTGCGGATCAGTCCTTGCCGCAGACCTCCAACGACACGGAAGTCATCGATGTGGCGAACAAGATCATCACACCAGGCTTCGTCGATACCCACCGCCACGGTTGGCAAACAGCTTTCAGGACCATCGCCTCGAATACCTCACTTGCCGAATACTTCACCCGCTATGGCGAATTTGCTGCTGCGGGCTTGCTGAGTGCCGATGATGTCTACATTGGTCAGCTCGCAGGACTCTTTGAGGCCCTGAACGCCGGTGTCACGACGACGCTGGATCATGCCCACCACACTTGGTCTGATGAGACTTCAGAGGCAGGTCTGAAAGGTAGCATTGACAGCGGCGCGAGAGTCTTCTGGTCGTACGCCTTTCACAACGTCACCAACTACACCATCTCGGAACAGCTAGAAAACTTCAAGGATATCGCGACCAAGGCCGAGTTCGATGGTACTCCCACAACTTTGGGAGTCGCCTGCGACTTCTTCGGGACCGACGGTGTTCTCGCAGATGTCAATGCGGTGGTTGATCTTGCCAAGTAAGTTGAGTTGTTTGATACAAGGTGGCAGTGAAAACTTTTCTAACGCGCTGTAGAGAGTTCAATGTCTCTGTGATCACGACTCACAGCCTACAAGGCCCGTGGGGCAGTAAGTGTTTGACCCTGACCATACGATGGTGCCGCTTTCATACTGACTACTTCACAGACACCAACAGCCCCGAGGACGTCCATGCTGTTGGAGCATTAAATACCAGCATTCCAGTTGTCTTTTCTCATGCATCCTTTCTGACCTACAAGGGCGCATCTCTCCTCCGCTCCACAAATCAGTATATCTCCATCACTCCAGAGTCAGAGATGCATTACGGCCACACGCATCCTCACAGCCATCTGATCCAGGACCAAGGTTCCCTCGGTGTCGACACTCACTTCACTTTCTCAACCGACATCCTTACTCAAGCCCGTCTCTGGCTCCAGAGCACCCGCCGCCTTCTTTACCAACAAGTCCTCGCAAACTGGCGCGTGCCCACCAGCACGCCCATGACCGTGAACCAAGCATTCCTCCTCGCCACGAGAAACGGCGGGCTTGCCCTCCGCCGCCCTGACCTGGGCGTCATAACCGAGGGCGCGAAAGCCGACGTCGTGGTCTGGGATGGTGAGAGTCCCGCTCTCCTCGGCTGGGTTGACCCCGTTGCTGCTGTAATACTACACGCTAGCGTGGCCGATGTCGAGCACGTCTTGGTGGACGGGAAGTTTGTCAAGAAAGACCACAAGTTGACGGTACCTGACTACGCAGACGTCAAGACGCGGTTCCTGGAGAGCGCAAGGAAGATCCAGCAGACTTGGAGGGATATCCCATTCTTCGCTCTCGAAGGAGAGTTCAGTAGTTCTGAAGCTCCCTATGAAGCGCCTCTGTCTGTCGATGTTCTAGCTGGAGGTGAAAGTGGATACGGAACCACGTTTGTTTGAATACCGGTGCCGCGGTAACAGGCTAGAAGCACATATGCCAAGCCTGCGTCCCAAAGGTTTAAAGGGATATAATGAAACCAATAATATTAATGTAGTATTCTTCAAGACGCGAACGAGCATTTAATAAATCTTAAATGTACATGCTTATAAGATGGATTACTTGTGTCTGCGCTAGAATTGCCTTGCAAAGTTCCGGAGTCATTACACACAAAGATTGGTTATATTTGGGAAGCTGTGAAACACTTGATGTTGAAGCGGAGACTATTTTGACAATTTCTCCTGGAGCTACCTAGTTAAATGAGCCATCAAGATCACTTTTGAGGATCTGAAATCGTCGGTTTCTTGATGCCGAGCTGACGCGCCGGCGGGATACCGGGCGGTTTGTGTGGCGCGAAACATATAGTCTCCACTTGGATCTCCTCATTTCCGGCCGCCACCTGTCGCGTTATCTTTTCCGGGATCATCCTATCTACCTGCCAAGTTGAGGGGAAACTTAAGGCTAAGACAACTTCAACGAACGTGGTTCCCCATTAAGAACGTCACTCGACTCATCAATAGTCTTGAACTCTCTGTGTTGCTTCATGAAAACCACCCCAGCCGATTGATAACATAATCACAAGAGGCTTAGCTTCTTACATAACAACCAGAAGTACGTCTGAGATGGTCCAACGCCTCTATCGAGAGGCTGGGCTGCATGCCTTTATCGGGGCAATAGAAGAGGATGGATGCGTTGTTATCAAAGACTTTACGGACCATGCGTCCCTTGACGCCGCACATGAAGAAGTTCAGCCATATCTCAATGCATCGCTTGCGCAGTCTGGAAGCACTGTTGGGGCCTTGAACGGTGGAACTGCAACCTGTACAAGGCTTGTCGGTCGAAGCAAGACTGTGCGTGAAAAGTTCTTCTCGGACTCGTTATATCAGGTGTGCTTAACGTATCTCTCTTCTCTATCAAGTTTCTTGGGCTGAACCTGCTACTAAGTGTGACGTGTGAATAGGAAATTGCCGATCACTTCATCGGGCTCGAGACCGAAATATGGTACGGAGATGAACCCATAACCCACAAGTCCGACCCTCTCCTCTCCATTTCCATCACTATGTCCTCACAGCCGGGAGCAAAAGCACAGAAACTGCATCGCGACGATAAGAACCATCATGCGAGGCACATCAAGGCCAGTCACTACACAAAAGGCCGCGACATGCTGCTCGGCCTATTCGTTCCGGAATGCGACACTTTCGAAGCGAACGGTGCGACCCGGATCGTTCCTGGATCGCATCTGTGGGGTGATCAAAAGCCCGACTTCGGCCCCGATGGCCAAAGTGGTGTTCAAAATGCGGAACTGAAAAGAGGCGAGGCATTTGTTATGTTGGGCAGTCTGTATCATGGTGCCGGACAGTATTCTCTAGAGACGGGATGTCGAACGGTGCATATTATGTTCATGTGTAGCGGCGTTTACCGTCAAGAGGTCAGATACCAAAATTCCAGGCTTGGCGATGGAAGTATGTTTGCTAACACATTTGTAGGAGATTCCGTATCTCAGCTACCCGATCGAGGATGTCAAGACCTATTCGAAGCTCGTGCGTGACCGTCTGGGCTGGAAGCAGTCTGAGCCCAACTTGGGATGGGTTGATCTGAAATCACCAGAGTACCTTCTAGAATGAGTATACAATAAAGGGGGAAGTAATAGTTGTGGCGGTTTGAGTCGTGGGTCCACTGACCTGTATGGACCCGGGCTGGCTGCCATAATACTCAAACTCTATCCTCATTCACCCTCAAACATCAAGGTAGCCACAAGCACAAGGGTTGAGCCCAGGTGGAAACTTCGAGAGCAGATATTCGATGGTCTGTACGCGGTTAAGGTTAATCATGACCGCAAATAAGATGTCTGAAGTGAGCCGCTTCCCTAACCTTTCCCGCAATTTCTACAAAGGTTCGACAGGATATTAAGTATATAAGAGGCCGATAGACGCACCTAAAGACCTAATACTCCTCCATCTTACTTTGCCTATATATCATTCACCCTGAACTCAGCATTTCATCTCTTCTCAAACTTCCATCATGAAGGGCGGTTTACTCCTCGCTCTTTTTAGCGGCGTGCTAGCCGCCCCAGCAGCCCTGAAATACCAGACCGCACAAGTATCAACCAAACACGATCTCTCACACATCTCTCGACAGACACTACACAACATTCGAAAACAGTGTTCGAATTGTACCATCACACCTACCCATGTCGACCGCCGCGGCTTAGATCTGCAATTTTGTCACGAGATCGACGCCTGCTGCAGTGTAAAAGCTCCAATAAGATGTTACGATGAAGACAAGTTCAAAATCGGCGACGAATTCACATCGAATCGTGACGCCGAGAAGTCGATGAAAATTCAGAAGCGCACGCAATGCGACCCTTGTTGCACCGGTAAAGAGGATGCAATTGAGAGATGGTTCGCAAAATGGTTAAAATGCAAGCACATTCCGGTACAGTGCGACTCGTGCGATGGCCCTCCGGAATGGGAGTGGATTGTTCCTGGAGGAGTAAATGATCAAGAACGGCAGAAGGGGTCCTGGAAACGTCCTGGATACTAGGTTTTTGAACATTCTGAAGTTCTGTCGACTATTGTGTTACAACCTTGAATTGCAAGAAACACCCGCACTGGCATTTGGAGACATAGGAGAATAAATCCAGCACCATGTGCTTGGGGTAATCTTGACGTGTTTTGGAAGTAGATATGGAGACCCTTCACGATGACTGTGGTTAATATCAGTATAGACCAGTAGAATCCCATAAAGTTCCTGGAATTCTTTTCCAAAATCATAAGCCTAAGTTCAATGAAATCGAAGAGACTTGAATAGTCGTCAGGCCTGATTCAGCTCTTACGCTTTTCTTGTATGAAACCTGAGGCTAGGCTACCTGTAGCACTGCGGTTCGTAGGACTGCGCACAAACGATATATGGACATTCCTCAACATTCTTAAACCTTCTCGATTTTAGCTCAACTTTCAGGCCATCATTGCACCTTGCCAGGAAGGTTTCTTACAGCGACCCCACGCCCTCTTGATAGTTGAACGGCAATTAAGCCGGAAATGGTGCTGATTCGAAGACTCAAGATCGTGCGACAACATTTCATGTCCTTTCAACCTACATCTCTTCGAGCATCGTTTATAATTTATAATTAGAATCCGGTTCGATGCTTAATGATGATGAAGCTCAAACCATCCCACCTTTGGGCTTTTAAAGGCACATCGCGACTCAGGAGCACTTTTGGCAAGTGTCTACTCTCAGCCCTCTAGAGCCTTAGGCTCATTACTCACCAACTTTAAAGAAACACACCTTTTAAGCACTTGATTCATGTGAATAGAAGAAGGTACTGAAGTAAGGGTCGAGGCAGTGGGTTCGTCATGAGATGAGAACAATGCGGCGCTCGGGAATTGATTTTGTGCTTCGGCTTTTAGACGCCACGCTTCAGGGAAACAGTGGGTCCGATAGCGGCGCCGCAGTTTCCGGGCCGAGTCAAACTCATCGACTTCCTCGACTTCACTGCACATGTCAACCACTCGTCTTCTTTATCGCAAGATATCAAGAAGGTAAACCAACTCAATTGAATCAAGACAATTACAAGATGGCACCTACGTTAGAGTCCAGCAAGATCGCCTTCATCGGTATGTTTCGCACAACACCAAAAAATCTCCCACGATGGCGGGGCTAACGCGGGGTATCCGTAGGCGGTGGCAATATGGCCGCAGCGATCATCGGAGGCCTGGTCGCAAAGGGCATCGACAAGCAAAACGTGACCGTCTCGGAGCCGTGGGATGTGAACCGCGAGAAGATGGCCGCCCTCGGCGTCAAAACGACCACCTCCAACGCAGAGGCCTTTGTCGGCGCCGACATTGCGATCCTCGCCGTCAAGCCCCAGGTCGCAAAGGGCGTCTGCAACGAGCTCGGCAAGGCCATCTCGGGTCAGGAGAAGACACCGGTCGTCGTCTCCATCGCCGCCGGTATCACCCTCGAAGCCCTTCAGAAGTGGCTGGCGCTCGACGACGGTCGGACCCCCCACGTCGTGCGTGTCATGCCCAACACCCCTGCCCTGGTGGGCGAGGGCGCGTCTGGTCTGTTTGCGGGTAGCGACGTGACGGACGATGAGAAGAAGTTGACTGAGGCACTTATGGCAAGCGTCAGCAAGGCGACGGAGTGGGTTGACAAGGAGGAGCTGATTGACGTCGTCACTGGCTTGTCAGGTGAGTCATCCCAAGGCACTTCGCATGAGTCGGCAGGGAAAAGGGCAAATCTAACACTAGGGCTCTCTAGGATCCGGCCCTGCGTACTTCTTCGCCATGGTCGAACATCTCATCTCCAGCGCCGTCGGTCTTGGCCTCTCCCCCGAGCAGGCGAAGCGCTTGGCCACCCAAACCTGTCTCGGTGCCGGCAAGATGCTCGTCGAGTCCCCTGAGGAGCCTAGTCAGCTCCGCAAGAACGTCACCAGCCCTAACGGCACCACACATGCTGCCCTTCAGAGCTTTGAAGCCTCTGGCTTCCAAGAGATTGTCGACAAGGCTGTCAAGGCTGCGGCGGATCGCGGCGAAGAGCTCGGGAAGACTCTGGGCAACCAGTAAAGCGTGTGGATCAATAGGGGATCCGTACGTCTTAGGGAGTTTTGAGGCATTATAGGACGGGTAACAAAAATCACGCCAGGCATGGCTACAAATATTAAAATGGGGGGCTTGGGGTTGCTTCTTCCACAGATGGCACCTGCCATCAGCAAACATCCAGCGTAGGCCACATAGGAAGTCTACATTAGTGCCTTCTCGTCCTAGCAACAAATACCTGGTCTGATGGTCGAAGGGGGAAGGTCGCGAAGTTTGGACTACTCCGTGATGTTCCGGATCATTTCTGGACTCCGGCTATCAACCCTTGGTCGGCTCCTGTTGTTCTTGCCTTTCTTTTCATTTTATCAAGGTAAGGTAGATAATGAATGGACAAGATGGCCACCAAAGTCGCTCGACATGCAATCCAACCAACAAATCTAATGATTTATGAATCATGATCTTGCAACTGAAAAGCATTTCGCCGTACCGATGTCCCATTGCAACATCCATCTTTCCCGCGCCTTAGCCTGATTTTCTTTCTGCACGCCATGCGGCCATCGACAGCTCGGGTCGTGGGGGAAACAACATCGGCCCTGCTCTCCACCCCTTTAGCTGTGAATCACGACCAGCTACAATAAACTCCAGGATCCAAAGAGCCAAGCATTCAAAAACAAAATGGCGGTCCTGCAAGTGAGCAGCTTATCTGCCCTGTCCTAATGTACCAGCAGATTACGAAACTTTCAGCTCAGTTCTCATATTGCGAACCACCTGGCCATATTTCCTAAATCCGTATACGGCATAGATAGTCAGTCCCCGCGTGGTCTAGCTCGTGTCACATTCCATCCCCAAGACCGTTCACGTCGGAGGCCATTGGCTAGGATGTACCTTAGCCGCATTTCGTATCACAAAATTGGCTTTGATGTCTCGGTCGCCTGATACATCAACGTGCCCTAAGCTGTCAAGGCTGTCTAGGGTGTGACCAAAAGAAGCCGCTCGTCTTGCTTTTACAGTGCTGTAGCGAGTCACCATGGCTAAACCTTGTAGCTCCTTTTGAAAGACATCATACGGGCTCAACCATCTCTAATTCCAAGACTGAGCTCTTGAGAGCACTGATCTCATTAATGAGGTTGAGTTTTGGAAGGAAAGGCCTTCTTTCTCTCCAGAATATCGCAAAAGCTGCAAGCGGAGCAACTTTGCATCCTTAAAGCTTAGACCGAGGATGATGTTACTAGATACACAAACTAGTATCATAGGTAAAGGTTGCAAGAGCTCGTCGAATCGCATGGGTTCGATCCCCATTCACACGGGTGTGCGTTCAATCGATACCGAGTCTAAGGTCCGGGTTTTGGGATCTTCACGTTTTGCCGTGATTAACTACTGCCTCCACGCTAGCGATGTCCATTTGCATTCTCATTGTCCGCCTCACAACTCCACTGGTGGATGAGGACATGACCACAAGACTCTCGTCGCGCGTATTGCTTATGCAGTCGCAGATACAGTACCTACCAGCAGTACCATCTATTCAGACTTCGAGTCCCAGCCAGCCTCATCTATGCAGGTAGCCGTCATTCAGGGGCGGTTACAATTTGCCCACCGGCTAGCCGGCATCCCAGGGTGATGAGCGGGATCATCCGTTCATGCAGCGATTCCGGCAGACCACTAAATATCATGGGGTAAAATGTTTTCCAATCTCCAAGAAGGGTTTTCAAGCAAGAGTACACTTGGCTCACTGAGGAATCTTCAAAGTCGCACTTTAATCCAATTCTTCAACACTTGTGGCGCGCAGTCGGTTTCTCTGGCAGCCACGTTCACACATACTAGCGGGAAGTTGTTGAGGGTATGAACGCGCGGCATTAGATCTTGCAAGGCATGCAGACAAGAGTGTCGATATTTGACAGCCTGGCATGCCTCACACATCTCTCCGCGCCTCTCAATGTAACTCAAGACCGGGAGAACGGTTTCCCGTGGTGACTTTTACTGTCTCTCGGCCGATATGTTATGTGGGTTAATTACGAGAATGTGGACCTGCCCTCACACCAGCGCCTGAGACACGTTTAGAACGCAGGGTGTTGATCTACAGGGCGGGATGGGGATGGCGAAGTCTCGATTTCGGGATAAGATCATCGCCTTTTGCAGGATGGGCAACTTGGCAAGGCATCGGGTGCTGGGCCTGGATCTGGGCCGCAGGCACAGTGTGCTGGTCTATGGAGACTTGTGAAAGACTCCAAGCTCCCCCTTGAACAATTTGTAAGCTTCTAAACTTCTCGGAGAGTACATCTAAATCTCCGTATAGGATATGCGCGTGGTGGATGATCTATCGCGAGGGAAAGAGGGTGTCCCTTGTTCGGTTACAAATGGGAGGCTGGCTAGGGGGAGGGAAATGGAGTTGCTCCACCTGAAGTAATCGTCTTTGACAAAAGTAGAGTCGCTTGCGACATTCTGCAGCAAGCAGGGGTTCTCTGCCTTAGTGTCTCTATTCTTGGGTCGCTTCCTTCATGGCGCAAATCCAAATCTTGGGTTCAAAGCTTCTCCATTAGTCTGGGTTATGATGAAGACAAGGTCAGGGTGGTCTTCCTAATACAAAGTTGCCAAACTCGAGGAGATGAAATTGTGTGTTCTTTGAATCCAAGTACTAGTGTAGGATGCCGGGAAGTTTGCCTACATATGTCCTCCACCGTTATGGGTGTCCCAGAAACTCCTTGTCCCTGATGTTGTACCGCTTTCCATGCGTAAGTATGCTCAAAAAGCAAAATCGTAATCTCGTAGTCTAGCTCAACTGCTTTCGCCAAAAGTCAACCACCTCGTCTAATTCGGGCCGGCTGTTCGGGTCCCTCCCAACACACCGCATAATCATGTTTTGCCACTCCTTCGGGACGTCCATCGCCATGGCCGTCCATACCGTAGGGTCCGGAGACTGCTCGACCTGCTCGAGCAGCATCCACATCGTCCTACCCAGACTAAACACCTCCGCCAGCTCCGCGGCCCGGGGACACGTCGTCTTCCACTCCGGAAGGACGTTCCAGTCCGGAAATCCCCACTTCTGGTTTCTCCGCGGCGCGCCGGTGTGGGGTGTATAGATGACCACTTGCCTGCCGTTCGTGCCAGTGGAGACGGACGACTCTTCGGCCTCCTGGTCGATGGTGACCTCGGGCGGGTGCGTAAACATGGAAAATCCACTCTGCTCCCAGTCGATGAGCCGGAGGTTGTTCTGGTCGTCTACGAGGATGTTGCCGGGCTTCAGGTCCATGTGGAAACTCTCGGCGACTTGGTGGGTGTGTTGAATCGCTAGGGCCATCTGGTAGCACCACTTGGCCTTGAGATCCAGCGGGAGACGTCGGGCGGCCCTGTTGGCGCGCATGACTTGCTCGTCGAGGGAGTCTTTGCTCAGGACCGGTTGCAAAAAGCCGCAGATGCGGTACTTCTTGTCCCCATCTTGAACGACGACGAGGACCTTGGGGCAGGGCATGATGTTCGGGTGGGGCGGCAGGGTGCACAAGGTGCGGATCTCGTGGAGGAGGGTCTTTTCTTGGTGTTCCTTAAAGTCTTTGCTGTCTCGCTCGTACTGGTCAAAGTCCATGCCCTTGAAGACGAAGTTGGCTTGTGGGGTAAGGCCGGAAGCTTTTTTAGTGACGATTCTTGCTCCCGTCTTGCCGGGGAGGGACCCGAGAATCTCGAGGTCGGCGAAATCCACAAGCTGGAAGTCTGTTGGGCGTTCGCTTTTGCCGAGGCTTGCAATGAACTTGTCGAAAGAGGTGAGTTGGTTGATGTAGTGTTCCCTGACGGGGGAGACCTCGCTTGCCACGGCCATTGTAAGTGATATTAAAATAGAGTCTATCGTAAATGGTTGAGGTTTCTGCTCCTAGAAGAGTTCGACTCGGGAAGGCGAAAAAGAGGTCGTCTTTTTTTATTTTCCAAAATAGGTTCTCTAATAAGAACGGTGAATGAGTATACAGATTCACCAAGAAACGAAGCTGAACAGAACAGTCGAGTTGGGACGGAAGACTGAATGTAAGCTGGAAGACTTTTGAGTTAATACCTTTAACCCATCATCAACTCTGATTGGGTGTCAACTCGGGTCTGCCACAGTTGTGAGTCCCATCTCAACTGATGGTAGCATTTACCAGGCTCTCTTTTCTTCTTCCGCTGATTGACCAAGTCCCTGTCGAGAATGGTCAAGGGAGCGAGGCAACTTCGGTGAATGAAAGGGTCCCGGCAGGTGCGATTGGGGGTATCAATCGCATTTGAAAGTCGGTACGGGAGCGCACGGTGAATCTGCTCCGGGACCATTCAAGACCCTTTTTTTCTGTCTGTGTGAGACTTGAAAAGAGAGAGAAAGGAATTTTGAGATCCTCTGAGAAAAGCGATATCACTGCCCATACCTTTTTTCTTTCCCTTAACCACCCCGGCTACCTAAGCCCTAGGGTCTAGCTTGGGAATTACCTATGATGCTTCGTCAACGATGTCTTACCTCGCTCTCGCCCATCCTGGTCATCTGACCGAGCGAGAAGTGAGGCGGGCGTGAGATGATATCACGAACGCCATCATCCACGAGAAAGAGTCGACCGAATCCATGCGCGGGCAGGATGCATGCCACTAGGCGGGTGGTGATTGGTGGCATCCCGCAAAGTGGCAGGGTGCGTGCTTCTTCATCCCTCACATTCGATATCTGACAGGTAAGAAATCCTCCGTCCGGGAAGGGTACGGCCCTAGCGGGCTGGCGGGAGATCAGATATCACGAAATGCCTCGTGTGCCTGTTGGCAGAAAGAGGACAAGGGGAAGAAAAAAAGGTGTGTCCGTCCTACCCAGGATCCCCCGGCACGCCAGAGCGGCCAGACACCCGCTGTCGAAAATGGGCAAGGCGTAACATGCAGGCGGCAGATCGGAAGCGCTGTCGATGGTTCCCGGAGGGGCTTAGCCATACGTGCCATGCTGTTTAAGTCACATTCATCGATGCGTGACGTAAGACACGGGCATGAGACAACAGGGACGCTACAGGTGTAGGGGGCGCGCACACTGTGAGTGAGCGTGGACGGTGTACGGATAGGTCTTGCAAACTTAGGAATTTCAGGTGAGCGAGGTGAGTCGGCTGGCGATCTTGCCGGATGGAGGCCGAGGGCTGAATGTCATTGGGGGGGGTTGAGGGTCGGACATGGGTTCAGATTTATTGATATGTGCCGCGGGAGCGCTTCGACCGGGGTGAGAATCATTTTGCCAGTTTATATGTAGTAATGTGGACGAATGTGCGTGTATGCGTATGTGTGTGTCTGTTTGCTCGGACGGTGTCTCCGGGCTGGCTGAACACACAACGTTGAGCAGGCGTCCCCCAATGCCTGTCTTAGCTTACCGGCGGTGGTATGATGGGGCGTATTTTCGAGCATGTCGTTGAGACAATCGTAGGTGAGATGGAGGATGTGATATGATATGATGCATCATGGGAGCCACGGGGTGAGAGGGGAGAGAAAATGTGAGATGAGAAAGGTCCATGTCGGTTCCCAGCCGTTCCCACAGAAAAAAGGAGGTTATCGGGGCGATCGCCGATGTCCAATCGCGGTGGGGTGTCCCGCCGGCACCATACTCCATAGATTGACCCCGAACCAACCCTCGCCGATCGTCCCATCTAATGTTTGTGAGGTGACAGTCTAGCGGGAGCACCCTCCCTCCATGTTCGACCGGGGAGGACACCCCTTGCCTTCCGTGAAGTGGAGGATGGCGCTTAGGCTCGGGTTGGCAGTTGATGATGTCTCACAGAGATCCGGCCAGCTGCCAGCCAAACCACATGGGTTACACTGCGCCCTCCCACTGGTAAAGTGACTGCCGAGATCGGGCCGTATGTCTTTCTCGGAAGGTCATGGTCAAAGGTGAAGACGTTGGACTAGTCGTCTTCTGCCCTATTGTAACTGGTCAAGTACAGTCGTTTTCCACTCTGACCCCCCTTCAAACCAAAGTTCAAAGGTATCCTGGACCCAGACACAGGGCATGTAATTTCTTCTTTGCGCTCTATGCCGTCCCGGTAATTCTGTCTGATATCCGTTCCGAGTCGCACAAAAGAAATCGCTAGAGACAACACAGCCCGGAGAGGATGCAGTAGTGCGATACTCGAACATTGCTCCGGAGTCACAGGGTCAAAGCGAAAGCGGGCGCCAAGTCAGGCCTGCTCACTAATTTGACTACAAGCGGAGCTTGTTCCCGGTACGGCCTACTCAAATACCCGATCCGTCTGTATTTGCGTCTAGCCTTTTGGCAATCTGGATAATTACTGGAAGTCGTCTAAACCTATTCCCAAAGGCTCCGTATGTCTCTTTCATACCGCTGGTTCTCCGGTCAAGAAGGATGCGATCCCTGAAGAGTCAATGCCGCAATGCTCCTTGGCAAGACACGACTCTTCTTGATCCCATCGCAGAGGGCATCGATCTTACCTTCAAGCCAAAGGGATCTATGTGGAATGACATGGCGGCTGGACTACACAGAAAGGGGCAATCATCTCGCCTCAACCGTTCTGTGAATCGTATTGACTGGTTCCGATATCTATCCGCTTACTCTCCGGTCCCAAAGTTAGAAAGTCTGACAGACAGGTTTGAAACCCGTCGCACTTAAGGCTTCGTGATTGGAGTTGTGTCAAAGGGGTCTTGCTACCCTGGCAAAGGCCCGAGAACTCGATTGAAGATCATCATAAAGCAATTACCGGATGCGGATGGGTAGGTGCTACTCTGTTGGGGACCCCTGAGAAAGCCCCGGCAGGCATACCCCGATGCTGAACAACTGCACTTTGACAGTCACAGAGATCGGCCGGCGCCGAGTACTCAGTCTCCAATGCATCTGTCGAGCTATTTCTACTCATAATCCTTGGTCCCTCGTATCGAGGGAACTGGGCAGAAAACACCCAACGATCTTCAGCTACGAATATTCCGAAGTATCAGCAATGGCACGGGAAAAAGATTCTCTCGTATTCCTGGACCAGGACTTTATTGTGCGAGATATAGCGATGTTTCTTTAAATTGTAGATCTGAGATCGGGATTTGAAAGCTTGAGAAGCGCCGGTGTGACAGGTTCGCCCGCGTGTTTAGTGTTATGCGAGCAGCAGTGGGAACCAACACACCCACTTAACTGGGCTGCACATCTCAATCCGAGATTACTCGCACAAGGTACGTGGTTTCGTTCATGTAGTTTAGCTTCCTTGCACTTAGGCACTACCGTAGTATTATGGGATAGGCTTATGTTGGGAAGAGCTGACTCGATGAATGGGAAAAGAGTGGCAAGTTGGCAACCAACACACCTGGCGACCTACCAAGCGGAGAACAGAGCCCGAACTTAGTTGTTTCCAAGAGTGGCAGCAATCGTAAGTAACCAAATTTGCCATATAATCCCTTATGTGGAAGGGCCTCTGAGAAGAGGGCACTCCGACAAGAGTTCAGCCCGTAGCACGTAGGCTATCATGGGCACCAACACGTGTTTTTTGATGATTCCTGTCACTTTTCTCATTGAACTTACAAGCTTGTCAAATCGCCAACAAGAAATTAACGAGGAAACGAAGAGGTCATGGTTGTGGTAATCGACAGAATCCAAGGATTGTGTCTCCCTCCGTGACGCGTCGACAGTATCAGGGTTGCAAACACTGATTCGATGTTGCTCTCAAGAGGGCAAAGAAAGGTTCCCCGCTGAAGCGAGCAAGAAAGATACCGGGCAAATAGTTGATATAGGAATCTGAGCGAATATCAATTGAAACGGAAGCCATACACATGCGGTCATCGAGCTGTTGTCTCGATCCAGAATTCCAAAAGTTTGTACTATCGAAGTTTAAGCAGGCACTCGTTGAGGAACCGACCCGAGAGAATTGAAACCGTAGAGAGGCATGAGTGTACTTAGGCATGTCAGGCCCGGAAAACCGACTGGGTAGCCCAATTTACAACTTTCATTGTGTACACCAGACAGTGAAAGCCTCACTGAATGATCAGGAAGTGGGTCCCATCCCGGTTGTTTCAAGGATATTTGAAAGCGACCTCGGTGAAGATGTTTGTGAGTAGATTAATGAGTTGCAACTTGCCCGCCCAGATGGGCACTGAGACTTCCAGGATCCAATTTCTCATTCTCATTGCCAACAGCATGCCGCCGAGTCATAAGTCTGCACTCGAGTGTTACTCGCCGAAGCCGCCGAGGCCGGAGTCACACCCGAGCCTGAAGATTCCATAGTTACCGACGGGATTGTGGAGTCCGGTGCCGAGTCCGAGCTTGGTGCTGATGAAGATTTGTATGTACCTTATGGAGGATAAGGTATATTATCACCGCAGAGGTTACCGCAAGAGGTATCAAGATAGGCCTTTTCGTTCCAATATTTCTTTTTCTGAGAAGAGCATGCGGGAGTAAGATCTCTTCACCTGGGCAGTTTATCTGAAGCATCTACTCCACGCGTACCCAAGGGAATGTAGCATTGTCACACCGAACTCACGGGATGAGATGTGCCTTGCATTGCTTCTCGATCCTCTCCGATCCTTCACGACCAATTGCCGGCACTTTTCGGACGGAGAAAAAAGGAGTGGGTGAGTGGAAGAATCGGCAAGTTTGGGGGAAAGCCGTGAAAGGCCGGGCGGCATGCCGCGGCCCCGCCCCACCCGCAGCGAACCCCGGCGCCACTGCGGTTTTCTGCCCCACCACCTCCTCTCCGATAGAAGTGCAACCTTCCCGAAGAGGAATGCACCTGTGCAAGCTCGTCTTGGCTTCACTTGGCTTCATTCGCGTGCTCTGGCGCGTCAATTTCTTTCTTCCACACAAATACACATGTTCTCTTCCTCTTCCTCTCTCTATTGTCGCCT